TTTGTTATCTCACGCAAATATGCTATTTCCATTGAATAAATGTCTGAACATTAAATGTAATCTTTGCTAGTAAATGAGATGTTTACACTTAAATACGACGTTTGTACATAAATTTAGTGTTTGCACGTAAATATAGTGTTAGCATGTAAATATGATGTCTGCACGTAAGTATGGTGTTAGCATGTAAATATGATGTCCGCATGTAAATAGGGTGTTTGCACGTATTCGCAGCGTTCTGAGTAAATTTGCTGTTTACATGCAAATATTCTTTTTTCTCAAATAAGTGATGTTTGTAAAAGTTTTGTTACACGGAATGCATCCCATTTTCTCTTTTGTTGAATGAGAAATTTCCGACAATTGAATTCCATAATATGTGCGATTAATCGCTTTTACCTATTTTCCTTCTCTCTTCCACTTCTCTTTCCCTTCCCTTCTTTCTCTCTCATTTTACTTGATCGTTAATCCGCATTTTAAAGTATCAAATTAAGTGTTAAATATCGATGAAAACCTTTGCTTTCAAATATATGCATATGCACTCAAATTAAAAAAAAAAACAGTTAATGAATCAAATTGAGAAATTTAGGAAATTTGTTTTGAAATGAAAAATTGCATATTCTCCATCCTACTTTTTTTAGAAAAAATTCATTTGTTTTATTATTTTGCATTTTGAATTTCACAATTTAATATTTTTGCAATATTTCAAATCAACGAAAAAATGCAATTATTTATTTGTTGACATCTATTTATGGTGGTAAACTTGATAAGAAAAAGATTAATCTAATAAATGAATTGACAAGAAAATGATAAATTTCTAAATGTTCAAGCTTGACCAACATTGCATAATTAATAAAAATATTAAATCCACATGAAGGCGTTATAAAAGAAATGCTAGGAAAACAAACACTAAAAATCTCTTTCAATTTACTCTTTATAATAATTGGTCAAAAATATGCAAATGACATTCAAATTTCACTTAATAAAATGTTTGTTTCTCTTTTTTATTTTTTCAACTGTTCATATAAAATTTGTAAATTTGTTAAAAATTGTTCAATAAAAAATAAAAAAAGAAAGAGGAGAAAAAAATAAAAACGGATGTAAACGCATGGTTCGCTTTCTACGAATGATATGGACAAGAAATATTGAATTGAATCGTTTATTTTTATCAATTTCTGCTAAAAGTGCACATTTAAAGCTAATAGCCATCTCAGCAATTGCTTATATATAGCAATAAATATGTTAGCATAAAATACGATTTGTTTATAATTTTATTTTTACTTTTTTTTTTTCATTCATTTATGCAATTAAGCTAAAGCTAATGCTTGTGAGCACCTAATTTTTACTAAATAAGCATAAACTAAAAATATTTTTTCTATATTTTTATAATGCTATCTTTTTTTGTTTATTTATTAACTTAACTTTAGTATTTTCTATGTATGCAGCTAATATAATTTAAAGATTTAGCCTTTTTTATTTTCCAAAAAAAAGCATTTCCTAAATTTGAAAAGAATGAACCTTAAATTATTAACCATATAAGATATATATGTGCATTTTTTCATTCTTGTAAATAATCTGAGGTCAATAATATTTCATGTTCTTTTAATCTAAACTTTTAATCTGAAATAATTCAAGATGATTCTGGTTTTTTTTTTTTTTTTTTTTTTTTTTGATAAATTTGAAAAAAAGCCTTTAATTGTTGATTAAATTAGAAAATGATACCACCTCCTGTGCAATGGATATTTTCGTTTCGAGAAAATACGGAATAATGGTGTTACTCAAATTGTCTTTTCCCGTTGACCGATAATGGAATTTTCCTGGGAATTAATTTGACCTTAATCAAAATTTATCCTTTAGATTGTCTTTTAAATTATGATGCAGAAGATTTTGAAGCTTGGCTTTTGTTATATCATAATATTAAATCTTTGAATTTCAAAAACTTAAATTATAAATTTTTTATTGCATACTATCAGCGATCAGTGTATACCATCAGATCTGAATTATTATGTTTTCTTCACTGTTATTATTTTTGCTTTTTTTTTTTTGATCATATTTATAATTTTAATTAATCTGTTTCTCTTTCTTCTTGTCTATTCTATATATTGCCATTTTTTAATCATGCTATAAATTTACCAAATTTGACGGAAAATTCAGTGTAAAAACAGTTTTAGCAAAATAATTTTCTGTAAATTTAAATTTATTTTAGCAAAAATAATTGCATTATTGTAAATTTGTTAAATTTACAAAAAGGATTTAGCTCATATTATTGTCATGAAGTATTTTCAGAAAGAATTGAATAGCAATGTTACATCTGTTTATGCAAAAAATAAGTCTCGGATTTCATAAAAATTAGAAAAATAAATTTAAATCTAAATTTTTGACTCCTGAAACTAATTAATAAGCATTAATTAATTGTATTTCTATAATTTTGATCTTCTACTTTCAGTAACATATGCATATAAAGTTTTACGGAATTTTTGTTGGAAAATTGGCAATGAGTACTTTGAAAAAAGACAATATAAATAGATTAAAATGTTATATTTAGTTATGAAAAAGCATAGACAAGCAACTTTAAGCAAACGATATGGAAGACAGTTTCAGATATTTCAAAGATTAAAAAAAAACTTAACTGAAACTAGATATTTTTATAGTATGCTGAAATTTTGGTGATTTTGATGGATGGAAAAATTTAATGTGAATGACAAGCACCCATTTTGTTTTATCTCACCATGTAAACGGGATTCATTGCTGTATATAAATGTATGTTATCTCAAAATTGATTAATTTATATTAAAGTCTTCGAAATTCATTTTTGATTTTAGGTTAATGCTCTACCATCCATAACTGATTTACTTCAATATTATGATATATTGATAAGTATGAAAAAAATTTCAAGTTTTTTTCTTTGTAAAATCCAGATATTATGTTGATTCGCTACTGAATATGAAATATTAAAGTTATTAGTCTAATAACTTTATTTGTAATCTTCTTTTAAAATATATTTTGCTGATGAAATTAATTTGTATATTTTATAATTTATTTTGTAATTTAGGTCTGTATCAAATTCTCAATTTTGCATCTTAGGTTCATTTTTTTTTTATAATCCTTTAGCATTTTCTATTCAGTTTTCACTATCTTAACCTCACTTTCCTTATATAATTTCTATTTTCATCAAATGACAATTTTGCACAATATGACTTCATAAATCTATCATTCGATACGGTAAAATACAGTAAGCCTCATGTGTTGGAATACGGTAGCTATTTATATATGGAACACATTGGTAATTATTTGTACGGAAAGTAATATTCAAGCATTGAAAATATAATTGCGCCAAATTTCACTTATAACAAATTGATAAGTGAAACTTGTAATTAAGACAAAAAACTGTTTTTGTATCTAACATTAACAAAAAATCTTTGTATTCAAATTATTACTATAGTCGTTAGAGTAACAAATATTGCTAAAGTAATTCCAATTAAATTTTAAGCTAGTAGTTTAAAGCAAAGTTAGTTTGTAAATATAATTGTAATTACTATTACTTGATCAATTAATTAGTTAATATGCATTTATATGATAAATTAAGGCACAGTAAAAATAAGTTCAAGTAGCAGCAAATGATATAATTTTTAAGAACTGATTCAATTTGTTTTTATAAATTTCTTTAGTTTGATCAAATTCTCATCATAGTTATTTTCACTATCATTATTATTTGATTAGATGATTAAGTATGAATAAATGATTAGACTGAAACCATTCAGTTTATTTCTATTACTCATTCATTTTTCCATATCTTACAAATAATTTAAATGATTAAAAATTTCATTAAATCTTTGTCTAAAATTTATAACAATTCAGCAACCACAATGCATTGTTATTAATTAGCACAATGATTTCCATCTATATTAAGCAATAAATAGTTGGATTTTATAAGAAATATTACGGTGGTCTGCTAAAAATTTGATAAAAGCTTCATAATTACAATTTATAATTGATTTGATTTTTTATCAAAAAATTAACTACTCTAGCTATCACATATTGTTATTTAAATTTTTATCATTGATGTTAATGATAATGATAATAATGAAGAAGCAATATCAATCGTGATTTCACTGCAACATTTTAGGATTGTAAGAGGTGGTACATCCAGCCGGTTTTAAACTATGTCATTGTCGTTGTTGTCATCATCATCCTGGTTGTCGCCAAGATTGGTGTCATCAAAATCAAAATGATCCTTTACTGCTCATTCTATCCATCTTTCACAACACTTCTTCCTTCTTCAGATACATAAATATCCTAAATTTTGCTGTTTCAAAAATTCTTTTCAAAGAAAGAAACGAAAAGAAAAGAAAAAAAAAAAAAGGAAGAAAAGAAGGAAGGAAAGAAAATTCATTTATTTATCACCGGTAAGAATTTCCACTTCTTTTTTTTTTTTTTCCTTCTTTTTTAGTGTTCAGTTTATTGTCAACGTCATCAAAATCATTTCATTCATTTCATTCATTCATTCATTCATTCATTCATTCATTCATTCATTCATTCATTCATTCATTCATTCATTCACTCATTCGTTCATCCACCCAATCAATCATTCATTCATTCATTTATTTATTCATTTTGAATGATTCATATTTCCGTATTTACTCATTGCTGTATTGTTTATTTTTATTTCTGACAATTATGATCTGAAAATTGAACTACTCGAAAATAAACAAATTACTATACTTACTTAATCTTTATTACTTTTGAAAAATTTTTTCGATTAATATTTAAAAAATTCTACTGTGATATTTTTTTTTTTTTTTTTTTTGTTTTTTGACAAATATATTTCATGTGGAAATTTTCAAATTAAAAAAAAAAAAAACAAAATGACTGAAATAGATTATCATCTTCGATAATGCGGTCCAGTCTATTGTTACTATTATTATTATCATCGAATAAACAAGGCAAATCATTGATAAACAATTTTTATCGAGAATTTGTCACAATAATTACCTAAATGGTCAGTAATGTTCGCGTTATTTTATTATTTACAATATTTGTTGCTGCTATATTCAATATTTCCATGCTTCATTATTAATCGACAAATCAGTTATGCGGTAAGTTGTTTTCATTTTTCGTTTTTTTTTTTTTTCAATATTTAAAAAAACACAAAATGATTTACTAAAAAAAGAAACAAATGTATTTAAATTAATTCAGAAACTTATATATTTGTAAAATTTTAACCATAAAAATCACAGCAATGTAATATGAGATATAAAATGTAAACTAGATAAGTGTTAGTGCTTAATTTAAATAGTAAATATTAAACAGGATGCTCTTTTTTTTAAGTTTTATAATTTAGCTGTTACTTTTTTTCTCAGATTTGATAATTAGAAATTGTAAAATTGAAAAATAAATGAAACTTTGGTTAGGAACAGTAAATAATAGATGTTTGAATATGGCTACTGCTTTTTTTTTTTTGGTTTTAAAAAATTTCAAATTTTACAAAAGTTATGTGCAGGATTAAAAATCCAATATAATATGAAAGCTTAAATTATCAGTGGAAAACAGTTTTTTTTTTTTTTTTTTAAACTGTAAAATATTAAATAGGAGTGTACGAGTATGAATAAATGAGTTAATTTGAATTTATTAGTCTTTAATTTTTTTTAGACTTACATCAAATTTGCCACTTTTTAAAGTTACTTTCCCTATTTTAATTGACACTTAAAATTTATGCATAGATTATTTCGGCTGATCAATCGAGAGATATTATCAAATTGCAAGCAAATATTTGAGAGACTTTAATTTCCTTCATTTACAATTTCATCAATTTTAATGGAAGAGAAAGAAAGTATTTAACCAAATTTTTCTTTTACTATTTTTTTCCATAAAATAATTTAGTGGAATAAATTGCAAAATAAAATTATTTTAATTTACTCTTAAAAGTGTATTACAAGTATAAGTTAAATTATGAATTTTTTGGAACAATAATAAAAAAATGAAAATGAAGAAAAAAACAATTATTCCACTATTAACTAATTATTAATTTAGAAATATTTGCTGGGATATTTTTTGAAAAATCATTTTTTCATTGTTCAGTTTAATTAAAACTAATTAACTTATGATTTTCTTTAAATTAATAATAAAATTAATTTATTAACTAAAAAAAAAAATGAATAACCAGTCAGTAATTGTAACTAAATAAAAATAGAAATTATAAATGAGCAAATTATGAACTCATATTTTCATCATTTTGATTAAATTCATTTAATTAATCTGAAAAATTTCTTCAAATTTTTGATTTCAAATAATATTTTATTTCCAATATAGCTATTATAGTTGCTACTTTAAATATTTAAAGACATTTTTCTTTCAATTAGTACTGAAATTTATTTTTTTTAAATTGTGAAATTGCAAAAAACGAAGAAAAAGAGTTTTAAAAAAAAGGAAAAAATTTTGGAATTAATCAAATTTACCAAAAGAAAAACAAAAAATGAAAATATTTAAAAGGAAAAAATAACAAATTTTAAATAATTTTCCTTGTTATGTTTTGGTTTCACTTTTTTCTTTATTAATTTTACTAAAATTATGGTTTTTATTTTATTTTATGTTACCAGTACAATTATTGCTATTAATTATTAACTTAATTTATTATTTATATTTCTAATTAATTAAAATATTTTACAATAATAGCTGATCATTGCAACTATTTTGAAAATTATTGCAAAATAGATATTTCTTTCATCAAATTTAATTATTTTATTTAAAAAAGCAAAATACAATAAAAATAAATGAAATCATTTAATCAGTTCAAATATTTTTATTGTTGTAATAAATCTTTGTAATTTTTTTTTTCTTTTCTTCTATCATTTTATCCTCTTTTTTTTCATTTTTCTCAATTTTAAAATTTAATAAACTTCCTCTTTTTTTTTTTTCTATCGCACATTTTCTGAAGTGAAGAAAACTTCATTTCATTCAATATATTCTTTATCATTTATTTTTGTTTTGAAAATTAAATACTCAAAATTAAAAGAACTTTGAAAAAGAAAAATTGATTGAAATATAAATTAAGAAAGATGAAGGAATGAAAAGGAAAAAAAGAATTTAAAAAAAAAAAAAAGGATAAGGAATGAAAGAAATAATCTGATAATTAAAAAGGGAAGATGACAATCATTTTCAAATTTTATATTCAATGTTTGAATTTTGAATTCTTTTCTCATTTCATAACTTTTCAACATATTTTATATAATTTGTTTACTTGTTGACAGCAAATCAGCAAACTTTTCAAAAAAGAAAAAAATTTTTTCTTTTATTTTTTTACATTTCATTGATATCTGAATAAAAATTAAAACTCATCAATATTATTTAAATCATTTTGGAACTTTTTTGACATTTTTCTTAATGTCAAATTTTCATATTTGAATAAAAAAAAAAAATGGAAAATTGATGATTAAAAAAAAAAAACAAATGTAAAAAAATTTAATTGGATTTTAGTAATAAGAATGAATGAGAAAAAAATAGAGGAAAGAAGTGAATAATTTAAATTTTTGTAAAAAAAAAGTTTTTTTTTTCTTTTTCCTTTTTTTTAAAATTCTTTTTTAATAATTGTTCAATAAAAATATGTAAATAAACAAATTAAAATGTCAAATTAGAGTGATGGGTGTACAATGAGGAGAAAAAGTTATAAGCATTTTGTTAACAAAAAAAAGAAAAACTTTATAATTTAAAAATTTTAAACATTTATTGAAAGTATGAATTAAAGAAGAAATTATCGAAAAATCTTGGCTTTGTGAAACATTAAAAATTTGCTTCTTCCAATTCAAATTTTAATTCAAATTATAGTTTAACTTTCATTTCTTTCTTTTTTCAGAAAATAATACAATTTCATATTTATTATAACCTTTTTTTTTAACCAACTTTTATCATAAATTTCATTTTTTTTTTCTTTTTTTCAAATTGAAAGGAAAAAATGCACCATAGTCAGATGAATGCGAAATTGAGAACAAATTTTAAAAATATTTCAAAATCAATAAAAACCAGATTTTGCTTGGATTAAGAATTAGAGAAATGAAAACATTGAGAAATTCAATTCAATAACACAATAAATTTTTCAGTTACATTAAAATAATTTTGAAATTTTCTTCAAAAATATTTCAAATTCAATAAAAATCAGAAATATGTGTGTAAATTTCAAAAAGAAAAAAGAAATCGATCAATAAATATATGAAAATATTCAAAAAATTAATTAAATACAGAATGAATGAAGCAAATTTGAAGAAAAAAAAAGTAATATTTTAAATATCATTCATACTTATATTAGATAAAAATTCATAATTTATTTCCATTCATTCATATCTAAAAAAACAAATTTAAAAAATTTTCTAATTTCAATCTAATTATTATTAAACATTTCTACTTTTTCTTTTTTTTTTTGAATTCTTCAATTTGTTGTTGATTTTATTTTATCGCATTTGAAAGAAAAAAAAAAAAAAGAATTTGATTTAATTTTGTCAAACCTTTTTTATCCATACATTATGTCAAATCAAAGTAACAAAATTTTAATTTTAAGATTTTGCACTTTTTTTTTGTGATAAAAAGGGAGTTTGTTCCACTCAAAATTAAAATTTATTCGTGGTTAAAATGAAAAAAAAAAAAAGTTTTTTTTCTCATTTTTTGAATTGAATTATGAACGATAGATTGTGACCATTAATTAAGTAATTAATTAAGTAATAGTTATTGCATTTAATGAATTTGTCCAATTCATTAAAAATTATTAAATAATAATCATTTTTTAGAAAAAGTAAATTCAATTTGAAAATTTGGAATTTCACTTTTTTTTTTTTATTTGTTTTAATTATCTTTTTTGAATGTAATATTTTGTAGAGTCATTTTAATGTTTTCAGAACAATATTTTTTGAAGTCAAATTAATGAATTGCTATTCATTTAACACTTCAAATTTCTGATTACAGTGTTAATATAATAATTTTTCTACTTAATTTAAATTTAATAATTTCTTTATAGATTTGTTTAATTCAGTTGCTTAATCCAAGTTTTGATTTTAGCTTATTTGTGAAAATGAAAAAAAAAAATAAATAAATTATTAGTTTTTTTTCGAACCAAAAAAGGAATTTTTTTTTTTTTTTTATATCAAAAATACGCTGCAAATTTATCTTTTTAACAAAATAAAATTGTATAACGATAAAATTTTATTATGATAGTTTAAAATTGTTGTGAGAAAATAATTATTATCAAGTAACTATAGAATTTTATATTTTATCAGCTAATAAAATTTATTGTTCAATGATTTAATTAATACTATAAAAGCACTTTTTTTTTGTGCACATTTTCTTCTTTTTGAAATAAATTTATTGATTTGTCTAAATTTATTCAAAACTGGTTTTAATTTTGAAAAAGAAGCGATGAAAGAGAAAAGTATATGAAAGAAGTTTTTTTTTTTTTTTTTTAATGATTATTGAAAATAGTAATAGTAATAATTGATGCTGTTATTATTGTCGTTATTACTTGGCATAATGATGATAAAAGGATAATAGTGATATGAATATGATTGCATTGCATATTTAATGATTAAAAATTAATTGTAAAATTTATTATAAATTAAAGAAAAAGGCAAATTTGGCAGTGATTGTAATAAACTATATGATAATGATGGTGATAATATAATATTTATGAAAATGATAGTGATAATGTATTATTTATGATAATGATGGTGATAATATATTATTTATGATAATGATGGTGATGATATATTATTTATGAAAATGATAGTGATAATATAAATGATGCTAATAACTATGATTTAGGAAATTAATATTAATTTGTTAGGTTTAATGATTAATTTGCATAAAAAGTTTTGTCTGTTTTTTTTTTTTAAAAATAAAAAAATGATAATTTGCAAAATTTGCTTCAGTGTAAAATAAGATATAAAAAACAAACTAAATATTATTCAAATGTCAAAATTAAAAAATAAAAACGATTGAATATATTTTTCAACTATTACTAATATCAAACTGTTTATTACAATAATTTTTGATTTTTGGATTTTTTAGTACTTTAAAATAATTCCAAATTTATTAATGAAAAGAATTTTTTTAATTCAAAATTATTGTATTTAAAAAAAAAAAGGAAAAAATGTGTGAGAAATGTGACTATATGGAAATACATATCATTTTACTTAATTAATTATTTCATTAAATAATCGCTTTAGATTTATTCGTTTTAATTATTTTGCTTAATATTTTGTAATTCTTAATTGCTTCAATAATTTTTTTTCTTTTAATTGCTTGCCAACATTTAAAATTATTCCTTTCACTTATTATTCTTTATAATTATTAATCTAATTAATAACAATTATTTTTTTATAATTATTTATCTTACGATTTTACCAAATTATTTTTTTTTAACTAATAATATTAACGAATTATGGAATGGTTATATTTCTATGAATTAAGTTTACATTCCAACAGCCACTGTGTCATATCTTTTCGCTGTAAAATCTTTCTTCCGCTTTTGTCCCTTCTGTTTTCAAATTTTAATGTATTCATAAATTCTCATTAACCAATAATTTGAAGTGATTACGTCATTCACATATTAAAAAATTATTCATATTATACATATCAAATTTCATAGCTGATTAATAATAATAATAACAATTGTAATAATATTAGTAATAATAATTAATGATGATAACAATAATAGTAGTATTGATAATAACAATAATAGTAATAGTGGTAATATTAATAATGAAAATGATGGCAATTATAATAATAGTAGTAATGATAAATGTTAATAGTGATAACAATAATAATAACAATTATAATAATAGTAATAATAATGGGAGTGATAATAATAACGATAATAATGACAATAATAATAAATACTACACTATAGTGATAGTGAGAATGATAGTGAAAATGTTAATGACATTAAGTAGACTAGCAGTAGTGGTGATAATGATGACAACAATAATAGTAATTAATATAGAATAATGACGATTTAAATAATAATGTAACTAATTATTATCATCCGTAGTGTAGAATTGAAGAAAAAGAAAGGAAACGCAGCGTACGTGTTGTACGTGATTTAACAAAATAAAAATTGATTTGTTTGTTGTAAATTATTTTATAATATTTGTTATGTGAATTATTAAAGGATTATAACAATTTATTTATTATATTAACAAAAACAATTTTCTGTTCGCTAAAAACAAAGCCGAAATTTTCTTCTTTTTAAATTTTATGCATAAATGAATTAAATTTCTTTTTAATCAAAAATTTTATGTGTAAAATAATTCAATTTTTAAGGTTTTATAAGTTCTCTTTAGATTTATTCCTCTTTTTTTTTTGTCATTTGAATAGAATACAATGATGATGGATTGATTTGATTCAAAAATTAATTTTTCCTTCTTTTTTTTCCTTTTTCGTTATATAAAAGAAATTGAAATAATTTCAAATTTGAGAAGTTGAAAGATCCGGTTTCCACTTGTTTAACTTGTTTACTCTAAACTAGTTTTATATCTGATATGTATACATCTGTTCCTTTAAAAATTTTTACCTAAAATTACCATTGATGTCATTTGCTGTTGCAGTTTTATTGTCCTAAACTTCAAATTATCACATTCCACATAAGACATTTAGAAAGTATATTTGAATAAAAATTAAATATAATTATACTGCCAATCCATTTAATCCATTTACAATTATCATAATATTTGAAAATTAATTATAATTTTCAAATAATTAACTGCTATAAAATAACAATAATTACTTTTTCAAAAAAGAAAAAAAAAACGATGAATGAAAGGAACAAGTAAATTTAAAAAAATATGAAATTTGAAGAAATAAATTTGAACACATAATAATTATTATTTAAAAGAGAAACGAAAAGGAAGCAAATTTGAAGTTTTGAAATTGGGAAAAGCAAACCAAAAAAAAAGCATAAATTTTAAAACAAAATTGTAGTTCGTTTTTTTGTTTGATTTTTAAATTAAAAAAAAATTTTTAGTTTTTAAAAAAATTTTTAATTTTTTTGGTCCTTAAATTGTGTAAAAAAAATAAATCATACTTTTACTTTCAATAAAATATGATAATGACGATGTAATAAGTAAGTAAGAAAATTAATTGCAAGTAATACAATGATGTATTTAACTGATAATAACACTGATAGTAACAGTTATAGTTATCAGTTGTAATAAATCAACAAATTTTTTTTCTTACTGTACGAGAAAGAATAAGGTCACAAAACGAAAAGATTTTAAATTTAGTAAGTCTTTCCGTTTTTTTTTTTTTTTTGAAGTAAATGTTTTAAAATGGTTTTGTTTGATAAATGGATAATTAATTTTTTATGAAAGTATGAATTGATTGTTGATAACAAAGAAAATAATATATCATTTTTTTTCAAATAAAATATTAAAGTTGCACTTTTTCCATATTCTTGTCATCTTCCACTTTATCAAATTACAAATACCAATTTTTAGAATTAAATTTGTGATAGTGATAAAGAATGATTAGCATATCAACGAAATCAGACCTTAATGATAAAAAAATAATCAGTGGAATGATTAGTATGCGTATATATTATTATTTTTATAAAATATGCCTTTTTTTCTTTAATCTTTTTTTCAAAATTTTTTATTTCGAAAAATATTAAAAATTGACGATTAAACTGCTTAAATCAGTTAGTTGTGTAAGATAATAAAAATTTAAAGCAAACTTTAGATATGAATGAAATAATCAAATAGTAATAAATTTTGCTAAATTTTTTTATCATTTCATCTGATCAATACGCCATATCGTTATCATTCATTTTTTGTAGTGATAAAATGACAAGAAATCCAACCTGATAATATAGCATTAATGATAAGATAACATCATTGGAAAATATAACAGCACCAACATATCATGATGATAAGTAAGCTTAATGATAGCATAAATAATAATAATTTGCAAAAACTAATAAAGAGATGATAAAATTATAACGATCAAAAAAAAGTGATAAAATTAAAGTTATTCTTTTTTCAATTCATTATTCTATTCATAAAAATAGAAGCAATGAAATGACATAAATATTATAAAAAATATTAATTAAAATTATCATAGACAAAAAAAAAAAATAAAGAAAAAAATTATTTATTGTTAAAACATTCATAGAGAAATAAATATTGATGATGATTTTGTTTTAGCATATAATTTATAAATGAATTTCAAATGATAAATGGTTGTCTCATTTCTTTTGCTCACTTTTTTTTTGTTTTGTTTTGTTTTTGTTTTTGTTTTTGTTCTTATTTCCTTTTTTTTTTAAAAAAAATTTAGCGTAAAGTTTTTATTATTTGATAAAATTTTTCTTCCTTATCGCTTTCTTTTTTTTATTCGTGCGGGAATTACAAAGACATTAATCATTACTGTAATTTCTTTTCATCTATTCCTTCCTATTTCTATTTGTCTTTTCATTCTGTCATTTTAAAAACAAACTTCATTTCATTAAAATACGAATTGAAAAAAAAAGAGATTGAAAAAAAGCCCAAAAATAAGTAAGAAGATTTCATTAATTAAATTAATTCAATTAAATAATTTATAATGAAAAAACGAAATGCAAAAATGGGAAAAGAAACATTTTGCTCCAATTTAATAATTATTAATTTTAACTGATTATCATTTATAATAGAAATAAAAAAATAAATACAAATGTAAGAAAATGAGGCAAAACACGATTTTATTAATCGATTGTAGGCTTTAAGAATAAAATTTATATTAATTCTGTTTGAGTTTTTAAAAAAGTATTTTGGAATATTTTTCCATTTGGCTTAATATTTGAAAAAGTTAATTTAATAGTACTTAGAAGATTGATCGAACACTGTAAGCTAAAAAAAAAAAACATATGGAAAAAATTTTATTACTTAATACAAATAATTTGATATAAATCTTTTTAATAGGCAATTTTGCTTTATTTTTATTATTTTTAGTATTTGTTGTAAAAAGCAATTGAGAAAAGAAAAAGAGCTAATAATTCGAAAAAAATAAATTTTTTTTTTTTATTTTATTAATATTATTATATATATATATATATATATTTTCTGATTATTATTACTATTATGTCAATTACAATTATTTATTGCCAAAATGAAAATGCAAAAAGTTTTTTTAGCATAATAAAACTTATTATCATTATTCTTCACAACTTAAAATACAATAATTTGCCAAAATAAAATTTAAAAAGAAGTTAAAACGATTAAATAAACATTTAATTTATACACAGCAAATTGATTTAATGAATTATTACAGTGATACTGCGTAAATATCATTAATTTATTTATCAACATATCATACAATTAATCAAAGTTTATTACAACAAGCAATTATGATTACTACGTGACAAATATGCTTTAAACAAATAAGTTTCTATATTTTTAAAATTATATTTTATGAATAAAGCTAATAATTAATATCAAATTTTTATTTTCAGCAATATCAATATACCTCAAAACTTGATTATCGTCGTCGTCCAAGCCATTTAATTATTAATAATATTAAAAAATTACGACCATTTAAATCTACTAATATTGTAACGGAACCATTTGATCAACAAATGTAAGTAATTAATATTAAAGTTAACTTTTGTTTTCTTTTTTCTTTCCAATAATTTTTAACACCTTTTCTTTTATTTAATTGTTTGGATAATGTGCATTTAATGTATGTGAAATTTAATTTACTTTCATTATCAGAAAACAATCATTACAAATAATGAACAATACGATATTGGAGCGTTCACATGATGAATTCCAAAATATCATAAAACAAACCTATCCACGATCAAAATTATTCTCGTCCTATTCCAAAAATGTTAGTATTATTTGTTGACAAAAAATGGAAATAAGTAAGGATCAAAAAATTAAAATATAGTTTTCCTATATTCCATCATTATTTTTTATTCCTATACCTCAATCCTACCCTGTTTCGCTTACCCATTATTTATATTCCTTGCTCATTTCCTTATCTTACATAATTCTGTTTAATTTTAGCAGTTTTATCTTATTTCACTACTTTTCCTTTTCCACACTTCATTATTATTCTCATTAAAATTTAATTAAAATAAGCAACATTTTGATGTTCTGTTTGAACAAAAAATTAAAATAAAGGTACTGTAGGGTACAGTATCTCTTTAGTGCTATACCGTATCCTATGTATAAATTTGGAGTTTCTCTTCAGTATCTTTATTTGTTTACTAGGATTATAAATACCAATTTTATTGTTTACCGGAAACTATTTGCTACACATAAAAATTTCCATTTTTTTTCCTTTATTTCTTTCAGGAAATGAATCGTATATTACCGAAAGTAATTTCACCATTTCTACAAAATTTTAATGATAATGGAAATGAAGAGAAGCCAATAAGTGTAAAACCAAAATTAAGATCAACATCAACAACAACAGCAACAACAACAACAACCACAACAACAACAATAACAATAACACCTCTAACATCACAACCAATGCTATTAAGTCGTATATCACCAGGAATTAATATTGATGAAGCAAAACAAGCTAGGATACAGGTATTGTAATTAGAAAAAAAGATAAAAATGATATTTCAATACACGTTATAACTAGTCAATTTAAAAATATGTTTACTCTTTGACATTTAATTTATTATTTACCATACGTTGTTTCAATTAGAAAGTGAATAAATAATAATTGCTATTATCTTTATTAGTTTTTTTCGCTTTTTTTTAATAAAAATGTAATCTGTTAAAAGTTTTTTAAGTAATATAAATGTTGATTCTTCTTTTTTTAGATATCAATAGCAATAATTAATGTTGGTTACAATGTTAATTAATAATCGTAATGGCAATAACAATTGAATTTGAATTTCATTCTAATTTTACGCATCGTACAGGCTAGATGGCGTAAACTGGGTCCACTGGTGAAATCGATACAATATCCGTATGTTCGGCGAAATTGGAATCGTATTATTTTAACAAAAGATAGCAATGAACCATCACATTTTTCAAATCGAATGCAAAAAATTATCAAACGATTACGACAACAACAACAACAACAGCAGTCAGCACAAATACTAATTGATCCTGAAAAAGTTGAAAAACGACCTCGTGTGGATGGAATATTACTTTCAAATGTTGAAATAAAGTCAAAATTATTCCCCAACGAAGGTTTTTTTAATATAATTTCTTTTTTTGTTTTCCTTTTATTTGCTTTGCTTTTTTTCTTTTGAAGATATCTTTGTTATGAAGATAAAAAGTATTTGATGAAATATTTGGCAGAATGAAAATGGTCAGTCAGTTAAATTGAATTATAAAAATTATTGTAAAAACACTTTTACTTTTTTTTCACTAGTTAATTAATTATTTTAAATGATTAGTTAATTAACTGAACAATTCAGCAATTGTTAGATAATAAAGATAATGAAATTTTGCCTTGTTTAATTCTTACAATAACTTTCATCAATTCCTGAAATTCCTGAAATTTCTATTTCAATTAATTTTGTTGTGATCAAAGATCTAATTGTAATTTCTATGTTAGAACAATTGGAAAAATCGAAAGTGATTGGAAATTTTGCATCATTCATACGAAATTTGTCTCAGTTAAATTAGGGTCAACCATTTCATCATTGTTATCATTATTTTAAATCAAACTGAGACATAAATTTTTACCAAATTAATTGATTCATACAAGAAATAAAAAATGATTTTTAGTCATTTTTATCTTTTTTTTTGCAAATTTCGAATTTAAGTGATTTGAAGTGAAATTTTTTATATTTTTAAAGATTTTTAAAAGATTTGAAGTTTTTTTAAATCTAATAAATTTTTTTACTGCAATTTTTTATGAATGCAAAATTTTTTGTTATTATTATTTTCAACATAAAATGATAATTTAATTTTAGTAGATGAATGGCCAACAGAAATAGTAAAACCAACAACTACCACATTATCAACAACAACAACTACTACTGCAATTGTTACCACTACAGTACCTGTTACCAATTTTGTTACCGAAATTACTCCAAAACCAACAACCATTGATACCATTGCTTTTACTGATAATGCACCAACTATTATACCCACAACAACCATCACATCTACAATTGCTTCATCGCTTTCTTCATCATCGTTGACCACTTCAATTCCTACTTCAATAACTGATTTCGATAGCACGACAACAACCACTGAACCGAATTCATTTCCGTTCAGCACATCATCAAATGACTATCATTTTCGAAAAATTACACCGGCGAAGAAATTTAAATTTGCTCAGAAATTTCGGCGGCAACCACGACTTAAGATACGAAAACCGGGTCCGTTTTCAGTTTCATTTCATATTTTATGCATTACACAATTCATAAAAACTATAGTACCATAGTAAATTCTGAATTTTCTAAATTTTTAATGGAACAAATCTTAATTTCAGTGATTATTCTATTATTGCATTAATATTTTATGCAATTTATACGAAATACTTTTTTTTTAAGATTCAAAAAATTATATTATCATTTTTATGATACATTGAAGACTCAACAAATTATATAATAATTTATATAATTTTGCTTTATTTAATTTTCTGTTTTTTTTTTCTTTTTTTAAGACAATGAAAGATTTTTGTGAATAATTTGTATATAGTTTTTTCGTTTTTTAATTTTACAAAATATTTAATAAAAGATAAAATTTTAAAACCAAACAGTCTTTTATGTATGTGTTTATTATCATGAAAACATCATTATTTTTTATTTTTTTTTTTTTACTGTGCTTTATTTAGCTTTTGCTTTCTTTTTTTTTAAGATGATAGAGGACCTTTAAGAGGTAATCAAACAGCATCCGGACGAAGTCCAATTATTTTACCTCAACTTGAACCGTTAAATTTGGAAAATAAAATTGGACAGGAAAGTCTAAACAATGATGCAAATGGTTAGTTAGTTAATGATAAAAAAAAATATTTTTTCACATTTTCGCTGCATTTAAAACTTTTTAAATAACAATTAAATTTACTAATTGGAACGATTGGACGATAAAATGTGATATTTTGATTGTTTCCAACAGAAATTCTTCCTAATAAACAACGAACTTAAAAATAATGAGAAAAAGAGGTCAAAAGATTAGGAAATTAAGAATCGTTTGATCAGAGATAGTAAAAAAGATAATGAGAAAGGGATAAGAGAGAGAGAGAGAGAGAGAGGGAGAGGTAGTAGATGGTGGAAAATTTTGTGCTAAATTTTTATGAAAGAATAACCTATTTTATTTATTTATTTATTTATTTCATGTTTCAGCAATATTAATTTTACAATAATTGTATTTCGTCATAAAAAGGAAATACGAAATTAAAACAGATGTGATAAGATTAATAAAACCTGATGAGATAGATTTACATAAAAAGAAAATCAGGAAATAAACAGATGTGATAAGATAGCAAAAAGTGATAAAATATGTCTGCATGAAAAGCAAGTGAGAAATTAAATGAAGTAAATGTGATAAGATAATAAGAATGCTTATATAAGATAAGATATATTTATAAAAAAAAGGGGCGAAAAAGTATGCGTGGTGATATCTACTATGAGGAAGTGAATAGATGTGATAAGAGATAATAAGATATGATAAGGTTATTTGTATAAGAAAAATTTAGTAGATAAATGGATGCGGAAAGATAATAAAATATAATATATCTATATAAAAGGAAAATAGAACAACGAACAGATATGATAAGATAATCTGATATGATATGTTTACATGACAAGGAAGGGGGAAAATAAATGCGAAAGTTAAAAGATGATATGATAAGATAGTGATGTTTCCTGTACAAAAAGAAAATGCAAGAATAAACAAATGTGATAAGCTGAAGTGATTTAAGGATGATATGATTTTACAAGATGGGATGATATGGAGGGAAAAAATAAATAAATACATAAAAAGAAAAATTAGTACAAAATAATTGGGAAAGAAAAATACAAAAAAAAAAGTTTGTATAAAATAATAAAAATCGATTAATCTTAAATATTATTCTGTACTAGGAGGAATTGAAATTTTTACTAGTATTATTTTTTTTTTTTTTAAATTTTTAATGTAAGTCAGATGGTCAATTAAATTTTGAAGTGTTTTTTGCGAAGTATTTTAAACCTTTTCAAGTCTTTATTTTTGTTATCTTTTGTTGCAGGTCCTTCAGTTGATTCAAGTGATTTATTCGGTGGTGCATCGAGTAGTGGATTTGATAATTTTGATAAATCAATAGAGTTTAAATCAGAATCTGGTAAAACTGAAATAGATAATGCAGGATTTGGTACCGGGAAATTTCCAACTGATGAATATGGTTTAACAGGATTTGGTGGTGGTAAACCACCACCGGTTGATTTTAGTCAAGCAAATGTTGGTATATTTGGTAGCAGTGAACATAAACAATCAACAGATGATCATAACACGTAATTTTCTCTTTAATTTTAATTGATTTTTCCAAGTGTACAAGAAAATTTTTATTAAATTTCCAATAATTCCAATCAAAAAAAAAAAAAAAAAATAATAAGAAGAAAATAGTAAGACAATTAATTCCCAAAAAATTCTCACCTATAAAGATTTGAAATTAAAATAGTAATGAAAATATTAGCAACAAAATTTTTTTTTTAGTGTTTTCCGTAATTTTCCTAAAAAATTAAAAAATCATAAATAGTTATTAAAAATAATCAAAATTTTAGCATAATATCAACAGATCATGAGACAACAAAAATGACAACCGAAAGAATTGATAGTACGGATTCTTCAGTCGAAACAACATCATTGCAAACTACACAACATTTAAGCATAACATCATCAACTAATTCACAATCGGTTTTAAAAAATTCCGGATTAATTCCTGCATTACCACCCTCCGAATTTGACGGTGATTTTGGAACAGGAAAAAGAGGAGCAGTATTAGGAGGTACATTTCGTGGAACACAAACAGGATTCAATAATTTCGGTACTTTTTTTTAATTTGAAATATGAGCTTATTTTTGAGAAATTGAAAAAAAAAAATGAAGAAAAAGAAAAACAAGAGATTTTGCTATAAAAATCTAAAAACAATCATAAATTAAAATTGATTATGGTTAAAAAAAATTTTTTTTTAAAATTAATTAATTAAATTTGTAGATATTTTTATTGCTTATGTGTCTAAAAAAAAGAAAAAAAAAGTTTTATACAATAATTATTTTTTAAGATAATGAAGTTAAAGAATCGATATTTACCGGTGATTCTGCATTAACACCAAATCGGTTGGGTCCAACTGGTGATGGTCTTGGACCACCGATTCCATCCGGTGCAGCTATACCACCACCGGTACCAGCTGTTGGAATAGGTGGTGCTGCAGCTGGTATTTTACCAACATTATCAGATCGTTATATTAAAACGCAAAATCCACCAACAACGGTTTGCTTTTTCTGTTTTTAATTAAATTGAAAATTTCATTTCGTCCTTTTCTGCAATGATAAATGAAATGTGAATTTTTCATTTTTTTTTTTTTCTTTAACTGATCTAATTTTTATATGAGAAAATGACTGATAATATTGAAAAGAAAAATGAAACGATTGCACAGTTATCACAAATCTGAATGATAACTTTACTTTTATCATTTTTGGTAGCATATTTTATGCATTATTTGTGAAATTAATGCTAACACTTAAATATTTTTTGCCATCTTTAATTTTCAAAAAAAAAAGTTGTTGAATTCAAGAAATTTTATAAAAGTGTTAATTTTATAAAAAAGTTTCCGATTAGTTTCTATTATACAAAAATAAAAACACATTAGTTTCTGTTATACAAAAAAAAAAAACAGAAAAAACAAAAACATATATTACTTCTTATTTTTGTTTCTAACACAGAAATTTTTTACTTTTTATTTTCTAACATTTTATTTCTTACTTAAAATGCTATATCTATATATAACTTTTTATTTCTTATTTTTAGATTAAACCATCTGCATTATTGAATTTTCTAACTAAAGCAGACATTGGTTTCAATCAGGCAATCAATCATTTTGAGCAGGGTACACCAATTGAATCTGCTGCAATTGATATTTTAGAAGTAAATCATATATTTTATATATTTTTTAATATTTCTTTAAATTTTTTGAAAATTATAAAATTGTTGCTACGAATTTTGATTTTTTTTTTACCAGAACTTATGTACCATTCTTTTTTTTCCATGCCTTTTTTTTTCTGAGGAATATATATATTTTCAAAGATAATCAAAGATTATTAATCAATTATGCTAACGGATATTGCTCCTAATAATAACAATTATTCTATTAAATGCGGTATTACAAGGAATCCTAGTAAAATACGGTATTACAGTATGTCATTGCAAAGAATAGTACCGTATGCTATCTATTATCGGATACTGATAATTTGATTTGTAGTGTAATAAACACTGTTGTTAATTGCATTGCTGTTTTTGTTGATGTAAAAATATATTCCATGATTAATAAATTACACCAGTAATTTTTAAATTTCAGGTTGCATTGGGTAGTGAAAAATTAGATAGCCAAGCTAAATTACTAGGCCATATTGATCGAACAATTGGTATTGATAATTTGCAAAGGTTGCAAAGATGGGTAAATACAGGTGGTGCATTGGACGCTCTCAAAGAACAGGTTTATTTTAATTTCTAATTTAGATTTTAACTTAAAGGTTTAATTTAGAAATCAAATTTATTAAATTACATTAAAGTAAACTAATTCATTAAGAAATGAAATGAATTGCGTTTTTTTTTTTTTAAAAAAAAAAAAAATAAACTTATCATTATCATTCGTGAATCCGATCAATAATTTTATTTTTTAGCTTGCCAACTTTGTTAAGAACTACACAATACCGGAGAATTTGCTTCCTACCGTACCACCTCAATTGCAGTACCTTTTTGCACCAGGAAGGAAACGATAGCTGCTGTTTGCTTATGGTAATCAAGCGGGTACAATGAACTTCGTTCTTTTTTTTTTTGTTTTTCCAATAACAAACTGTTTAATTTTGCTCAGAATCCTCGAAATTGGTATTTTTTTTTTTGTCACCAGAAGAGGACGAAATAGTATGTTTGTATGTATTTATATGCAGTTGTGATAGAATGTATTGCAAAATTAATTCAAATATTTCCTCCATGTTTTTATTTTGATTGGCGATAGAATAATTGAGGTATTTTGTTTTAATAATGTTAATGTAATAATTCATTAATTCTTAAGTCATAATCAGTTAATTATGTCTTAGGCATACACTTAAATATTAGTTGAGTTATAAACTAATACTTATAACATTTTGTGTGAAACTGAAATTTTTTTCTGGTGCAGTTGATATGCCTCTAAATGTCTTCCAATTCTCGACTATCTCTCAAGACCTGTAACCATGTCTACAAGTTGATCTTTCTTCTTTTTCACTTCTTAAAAAATTAATGGAATTTTGAGGTAAACTAACATCATGCAGTAATAGATGTCTCCATTAAAAGTTTTAATTTAGAATTTAGGAAAGAAAACCGATGAAAATGACAACAGAAAAGGAAGAGTACTAGGTAATATCAATTTTCTTTTTCTTTGATAAGCAGATGATGAACTACTGATACTTCTCATATTTGTTAATTTCTGGTTGAAAATGATAAAAAAAAAAAAAAAAAAAAGAGATATAAGGAGCAAAGTCACAGCTATCACTCGATTTCATTATCAAAAACAAAAATGAACAATGTGAGTGTATTCGAAACAAAATAAAGAAACGAGCAAACAAATTAATTCGAAAAAAAAAAAAAAAAACTTTATTGAATACAATGAATTTCACAATTCAAAATGCACCAAATACTGAAACTGTAATTTAAATATTCTAAACATTGTGCAATCTCAACTACGAATGAAAACTATACAATAATCTAATTTAATCCATCCCAAATGTTCATACTTGCATATTAAATTAATCTTGGATCCATCTTTAAAACCTGTCATCAAAAACTAACTGCCACTTCCGCTACGAACTTCCCTTCCTATTTTCCCTATCATTATCTGCATTTCCAACCAAGAAGCAATTCAGCGGAAGGAGAATTGTCTTGTGTTTATCTAATAAATAATATACATATTATAATTGGTTGCCCGGTTATGTCATTTCTATGTATATATATATATTTTAGTTACTCCATGCATAGTTGTATGTTTTCCGATATATTTAAATAAATCGCTGTACCTTTTTTCAGGTGCTCTATAACTTAGGCTCGAAATTATTGCCTTTTTTATCTAAATTGTAACAAACTATTAAATGTGTAGGAATCTATTCTTTTTTTCTTCAACTGGTAGTAAATTATATCAGCTATAATAAAACGAAAATAAGATTTATGTACATGTGAAATATGAAATCTTTCTATAACAAGTGAAAAAATAAGATAACTACATCAGATGAGATCATCATTCAGATAACGATTTTGATAAAATCAGATAATCACCAGAGTCTGGACATGATGAATCAACACTAAAGCCATTCTTGTGAAAGAATGCAAGCGAATTTCCATTAAATGCAAACACTGTAGCCATCAATTTGTCCATTGACATCCTAAAATTATCCAGCACTCCAAATAAATAGCACATCAAAATTCATCATCGCAAAATTTCAGTTTAATAAATAATTATTATCCATTTTTCATCCAGGTTAAAGCTAATGCTAGTTCACCAATCATGAACATAATAGACAATAAAGTCCGGTATCAGCCATAATCATATACTTGTTGATGTCTTACTGCTAACCTTAGGGTTATACCTGCTTATTTCACATAAATATCTACCATTTAAATATTTTCACCTTTATTATACAAAAAATCAAGAGCTTTTGAGAATCACCGGCTTACTGAGATATATTAGTGTGCAATAGGGTCTGTTATAGTTTTAACAAAAATTTATTTTTAGCAGTTCAATTCGCTGAAGTTCTGAAAACTTTCATAATTTTGAGTTCAGCACAAACATATGCAAATTTTGGTTTCATTGCTCAATTATGCATTATAGTGTTTTTCCCTTTCATTTCCTACTATCTAAGAAAGAGAAAATGTTGAACAGTATAAAAATGATGATTACTTCTTTCCAATACATTCGGCAATGGATAAAAGAGTCGATCCAATACCTTTAACTTGATATTCGCTTTCTACCTGTATCTCATAACTGAAATAAAAAAAAAATTCCAGATATAACAGGAAGTTCCGAAAAAAAAAAAAAAAAAGATTTCAATTCATCTTTCTTCCGTTAAAATCATAACACAGTAAGCAAAAAAACTTAGATGTCATCCCTTCCAACTTGTTCCTAATGCATATCATTTGAATTCCCCAAAAAATCAGCTCATATAAATGTTGTAATCCAAATTATAACATGTGATAACACCGTTTCAGTTTGAATAAAGTTCCCAAAACACATCGTTTCTCTATTGATAACATTAACATTATCTCTTATCAACACTTATCGCCTTGTTGTAAGATATCGAAAAAGTAGTAATAATACTATCGCCGCTACTTTTTTAGAAAAATTTGATAATATAGCTAAAATCAATGTTAACAAACACTAACCAATATAATACAGCTGAATCGAAATCAATATCAAAACGATAATGCAAATAAGCGATCGGTTTATTAGTTTCATTCCTTGCGATAATATATCTGTAAACAGTATTTTCATGTCGTTTACTATCTAATAAAAGAACGATAAAGTTAAGATAATAATAATAAATAAAACTACTATTCTATGAATCAACCTTTCGATAGCAAATATTACAAATACCTTGATGTAGTCGCTTGAAATTCCTGTTTTTTGCTTGCTTCGTCGTATCCCCATTGAGAGATCTCATACATTGCACGCATATTAACTACAAACAATTGGAAAATCCATTGAAATTCCTCGTCATTTAAGTGTGTACCCCATAAAAACGTGAAATGAATCTTCTCACTAAAAATTAATTTAATCAATCAGTTATGCAGAAAAAATTCATTTTAGCTATATTATCAAATTTTTTTAAAAAAGTAGCGGCGATAGTATTATTACTACTTTTTCGATATCTTACAACAAGGCGATAGTGTTGATAAGAGACAATGTTAATGTTATGAAACTGACGAATATGTAATAAACAATGTAAAATGTTTGATAAAATTTTTCTTTCAAGGATAAATCAGAAATATTAATATATTAATCCTAATATTAATACTAACTAATCTAGTAGAACAAAAAAAAACCAATCAATTAAATCAATTATTTTATATAGAAAAAGGATTAAGAATACTATTAGATTTATTAAGTAAAAAAAAAGTGTAACAGCAACTTTTTTTCTTGAAACTATTATAAACTTTTTTAGAGAAAAAAAGGGAAGTGATTGATGTATGTAAGCTTCCACCTTCCTTAAGCTTTTTTAAAATTCCAAAAAAAAAAAAAAAACCAAAACATCACCAGCTTATCCAAAAGAAAGAAATATCCGAAAACTACCTAATAACAACTCACTGAACAAAGATAAAGTATTGAACAAAGATGTAACCTTGGAAAATTTTCAAAGCGTGTGGTACCACCGATAGCATTTTCAGTATTGATTAATTTCGTAGCTTTCTTTACTAATTTCTTCTTTACATCCATTTTTGTCCTGAAAAAAAAAAAGCAAGAGCAATAATAAAAATAATCAAAGAATAGCATAAAAATGCTAAGAAATGTTCAAATTTTAGGTATATGATTTTGTATTTCAAAAAATATCTAATTCATTTTGACCGTATAATTATGGCCATAGCCATAAAAGTATTTATAAAGGTATACAATTCCGGAGCCAAAGAAAGCCTTAAAAGTAATTTCAACATAGACTATACTGTCATGCTCATATACATATATATTTAAAGACTGCTAATTTGAGTTATTAAATCAAAAACTTTTCAAATCAGTCACAACCGGAAATTTTGACCGCATTAATCGTATGCGGTAATTTTACTGTTTCCATAAACAACGAACTCATTTTAACTATTGTTCCGGCAAAAATCAGGAGATGGCAAAAGAAAAAGGCATTGAGGAGTTTAAATAATAGGAAAGAGTGAAATTACTTCAGATAGCATAAAAGATAAATAAAATCAAGAAAGAATGATAGAAAAAAAGCAACGATGAAATAGCACACGATTACATGAGAGGAGAGTGAATGAGTGATTCACTTGATAAAATGATAAAAAGTTTGAAAAAAATATCTAACTGTAATATGTAAAATGATATTAGTGAAAATTTTTATAAATTTTTTTTATAAAATAGTGCTGTATACAATGATTATGAATTAATTGATAATGACCGGATCCGGAAAGATCCGGAAAATAGCCAGCTAGGACAGGTTTGTGTTCAACGTGCGAAAAGTACTGATTTAACAGGATAAGTCGACATGTTAATGTTTTTTTTTTTTTCGATAAATTAAGGTAAATTTAGGAATGGGCTAATTTGTTACAATTATAATTACTTAGTTTTATAACAAATTATGTGTGATCGAAATTCAATTTTCGTAAATTTATTATTAATCAATATTTTTTGCATATTTTTGTTTATAATTTGTTGAAAAATTAACTTTCCACACAAAAACATAGTATTGCCCAAAACAAAAAAGAAAAAGAAAAATAAAACACAAACTTTGGAAATAATTGGCTATGAAAGTTTCTGTTCCATTTTTCGGTTTCTTTAATTATTTGATTTATTATTCCGGTTAAAGTCAAAAGGTGTCATTATGCTGTGTTTTATGTGTATATAAATGTATAATTTCTTTCATTCATTTTTCAGTTTCATCTTATTAGTACTTTGAAGAACGGTTGCTTCTTTTATTTGCGTTTTTGTTTTTGCTGGATTTGAAATTTCTTAAGGTTGTCATTTTGATTTTTTGGATAATTCTCTTTTTTTTTTTCATTTTTTCCCATTTTATTCGCGTTGGAAGGAAATATGGAAACAATATTCACAATTTTCTTCATTAATATATCAAAATCGAATCGGATTTTGCGGGGATTTTAAATTGGTTCATCAGTGTTCTTTTCCTCAAATTTTATCATATTTAACTCCGAGCATTAATGAAATGTTGATTAATCAACTTATTATCTATAAAACTACTCAACCAACGTATTTTGTAAAATTAATGAGTACAGTTAAGTATAAATTAGATTAATCGGATTATTTGTTTCGCGAATATTACCATTATTACTTTATTATTATTTATTATTATTACCGATTATAAATTACCATATATTTTTAATACGTTTAGCTATAAAGTGACTAATTTAATTACATCCAGTAGGATTTTAACCATACTTTGTAAATTTTATCGTGATTTTGCCTTTTGATAACTTTTGATTTTTGCGAATTTTTGATGTAATTTTATAACGAAAGAGTGCTTCAAATTTCATTTTTATTATATATATTTATGTTTATGTCATTTTTAAACATAGTTTATTGTAATATGCGACATGAAAATTAGTCTTGCAATTATTTATATATTTAAAATGGAATTTTATTTATATATTACTTATAAATTTATGTTTTGGTTTAAGTAATGGATGCAAGATTTAGTAATAAATGGGCGGGGATGCATTGGAAGAGCTATTGGTATGTGAAGGATGGCCGATTAATGGAAAACAACTGAGTAATTTTATTGGTGAATCAATTTCAAAAATACAAGATGCTAATCAATTAAAGAAACAACTTCTCGATGTAAGCTTAGTTTTTCATTCTTTGCATTTCTTTCTTTCAGATGAAGTTCCAAAAACTGCTTTAGAAAAAAAAAAAAACGAAAACTATCTCTACAGAACGTATATCTCTACAGTATCTCATCTCTTCTGTAATAAATGTTTCACCGATTAGTTTTATGTTTTTTTTTTTTTTTTTTTTAACTAGCTTTTATAAAATTTGCATAGCTTAATTACAGCTAATTTCTTAACTGTAATTTATTTCAAGTTAGTTTGAGTGTGAATTATTTAGTTATTTCCTCTTTTCTTTTAAAAAAAATTTTTTTTTTTTCTTTTTTTTAATATTATGCTCATTAACATATCCCACATGTCATTTATAATTTGTTCATGTGGTTACAATTTGAGCAATATTAATCGGGAGATTCCTTATTTCTAATGGATTTCTACCCATTTGGAAATTTCATCTCCTAGGTATAAAAGCATTATAATATTTTTCTTCCTCTTTTTATTTCATACTTTTTTTTTTTCTTTTTATGAAAGAATTATTATAAATACTTATTGCAGATACTTTTTGAAATTGCTCAACACATGAAAATAAACAACGCTTGTTAATTTGAATGCCTGTTTTGAATTTTAATTATATTTTAAGTAAAGTTTTAGTTGTTATTACTTCGGCTTTCTAGTTGGAATGAATGAATTATTGATATAATGCCCGAGATTTTGGATGGTTTTATAAAAAAATCACATGTTACTTCTTATTTCCTTTTTATTTCAGGCTGATTTGCGTGAATATGCTGTACCGTTACTTTCAGATCGTATCAATAAACAATTAGGTGAATTTAAGGTATGTTAGATTTATACGTACATACTATTTGTTCGATGTCTATATTGTTTATTTATCTCGTTTTTCTTTTTGTTTTTTAACGTTAGCATAGCCGTAACATTAACTTTGACAGTTTTACTGACATGAGATTAGAAGATGGACATTTTTTAGTGATATAGCAAAGAATGTAGACGGTTAGTCAACTGTTCCGAAAATTGGTACACATAAGTGGTAGGCTGAAAATATGTCGTACTTTTGGCATTTAGATAATATTGAAAGTAATTCAGTAAAGACCAAAAAATTTAATTTTCTCTACTTACTGGATATCATAAATAATTTTCAGATCTCACATCATAACAAAATTTAGGTTGATTTTAATTGCTTTATTATTATAAGTTTTCTTTAGGGACCTTTGGTCGTTCAAGTTGTAAAGCAACGTAATGTTTCATATCCAAAGTATAATGAAATAACGCATACCGATGGTCTTATCAAGATTCAGTTAAGTGATGGTTTCTCCAGCATTCAAGCATTACTGTTTGAACCTATACCAAAGTTGAAGTATGCTCTTTGAAATATATATGTGATCTGGCTTATGGTTTTAGTATATCATTTCTGAATCGTTTACGATATTTATGAAAGATTAATACCAGAGCTGTTATTCTCGATATTAGCAATGAATATATGTTTAATGAAACATCAAATCGCTCCAAAAATTTACCGTTTTTTTTTTTTTGTTTACTTATTTCTTGTTTTTTCTTTTTTTTTATTTTTCATTAAAAATTTTCAGCGCTGAAACACCACCAGGCACAAAAGTTTGTTTGGCTGGAAAAATTCCAATTGAGAATGGAATGTTATTAATAAACGAAACCAACTGCCAAGTATTGGGTGGAAATGTTGAAAAGATGATCGAGAAGTGGAACATGGAAAAGGTTTCGTATAGTATTTTTATGTAGTAGTGAATTTGTTCACGATAAATTTTTGCATTACAAAAATTTTTATTCCGGTTTATAAATTTATAAAATATAGCTAAACTTTATAGAATTGGCAACAGAAACCAATACGAAACATTGAAAGTAATGCTCCAAAATGGACTCAATTTTCTAAACAGGTAAAACTTGTTAATTGTTCGGGAATATCAAAAAAATAACCATTTACCTGCATTCTACGACCTGGTGCATTGTGCATCTGTGATAGTTTCAATCATTTAATCTTTTTTTTTTTTTTATTTTTGTATTTTTTCATGATTTTGAAATTTTGAGCTTGTCATTTTTTGATATCCATTTTTTTTTCAGCGATTACCGCAGTCTTGTCTTCCGGTTAATGCCACTAATGAAATGTTCCGAGCTAATGATATAATTAGTGGATTAAACAAAAAAATGATTGATGAACGTGGTGATGATTTCAGTGCTGCTAGAAAAGCTCAAATTGATCATGTTATCGAAAATAATGCCATAAAGAAATTTGCGCGTAGTCAGGTAATTTATAATAATTTAAAGAATTAGTTTGATATAATACTGATGATAACACTCAACAAATGTATATTTCTAATCTCCTGAATGACATTATTATTTAGCCAATAAATCCTTTCTCTTTTTTCTTCTTATTCTGTTTCTTTTCATAATTTTTAAAAGAATTAGAATGGTGTATAATTAAAATAGTATTTATTTTAGTTGAAGCCCAAACCACTAGAGAATTGTGCTTCAACTTCTTGTAACAATAACAGCAAGAAAGATCCGGTGATAAAAGGAAAACCTGACACGGAAAATATGGTTTTGTTTTTTCTTGCTTTTAACAGTTTTAATTTGAAAAGATTTGAAAAAGCTTTTAAATAATTTTTTATTTAAGTTGATAGTTTCGGATTCGAGGACCCTTCTGTAATTTTTTCAAGATGTGCACTGACTGATTGTAGTATTCACAATCAATATCGGGTGGGCATTTTGCATCAAAGAAATGCGTCGTTACTTTAATGTAACAGTTTAAAAATAATAATGATTAACAATATACTAATGATTAGCCTTATGATAATTTAGGATCGACGTTCAGTCCGTGATGACAAGAAAAATTTGCTGCCAGTTCATCGACCGTCGAATCCTCCTACTCTCTATGACTTCATGCAGTCGAAAGTTCCCATGCCTGATGGAATATCTACAGGATATCAAAATTTTGGTAACCTGCAGGTTCGTTGGATTTTGATTAGATCACTGGAATACTTTTTTAATTGTTTCTAATTATCACACTTTAAATATTTCTTTCATGAATTTGTTACTTCAAAATTTCTTTATTTCTCTACTATGCTTTTTCGTAAACAAAATGTTTACTGGAATGTTTCAGTTCAGTAAGCATTAAATGGTTCTTCATTTTTGGTTTATCTTTCATCAAAATAGTTCCTGACGATGATATTTTAAAAAGATGTGATTTAAATTAGATTTATCCACAAAAAAAGAAAAAAAAAAAATACAAAGCGTTTAATTGTCAACACGGGCGTTCAGTTTCCGATGGAGAAAATTGAAACGAATCAGCAGAATGTCGAGACTCAAGGAATGGATCGACCACGAAGGGGCAGATTTAATGAAAGAGGTTATTATTCAAAATTTCGTCACGTTTTGATGTAGTTTTATTTTCTCATACTGAAAGGCTTAATTTTGTAGGATTTCGCTATCAGCAAACTGATGATAATACTAATGGCTCACATATATTCGAGATTTCGAACTCAAATAGGTATCGAAAACAATGTAATTGGCGATTAGAACGTGAAAAAAACTATGCAACAAATATGGTGAATGATAAAGTTCGAGTGAATCATGCGGATGATCAGTTGGTTTCAACGGCCAACAAAGGTTTAACTTACTACTATTTAAGGGATTTTTTGCTTAAATCTTTTCCTTTACTTGTTTCAAAAATTAATAACAATTATAATTTTATCATTTTGGAATAGCACTGTTTCTGCTAATTTCTTACGATCTAACATTTTAAAGCATTATTATGTCAATTTTAACATGCAATCCATAGAATTTTGTAGCTCAAATTAACTCAGATTGATCGAGTTAAAAGAATTGCAGTAACCAATATGGATGATTTGGTTTTATCATTATTTTATAGCCTGACTATCTCTTTTCATTTATTTTTTAGGATAAACTGTTTGATTTTATGTTGATTTATGTAAATTTAATCCCATATGTTTTAGGTAAGAATTTCAGAATTTCATTAATGATGATGATTTTAAAATTATGACTCATGCCATATCATAAGTAGTTATCATTAATACTATATGGTTGTTATTTATTCATCTCGTTTTTCAGAATTATCGGCACTGCATCTTTCTTCGATTGATAATGGACCGTTAGGTGTTGGTAAAGCTCATGATGTTCCACAAGAAATTGTGTGTTTTGAAAATAAAAATCATGGTTATCAGCAAAATGCAGTTCATGGGCCAGTATATAAACAACAGCAACAACAACAACGACAACAACAGCGACAACAATACCAACAGCATCAACAGCAATATCAACAACAATACCAACAACAACAGCAACGACAAAAACAGCAGCAACAACAACAACAATCTTTCGATAATAGAATGATGAACGGAGGGATGCTGCCGGTTTGGAAAATTGGTGATAAGTGCCTTGCACCATGGAGTGATGGCCAAGTAAATGTTTTATCTTATTATGGTTGAAATACTTTGATGTTTATATGCAAATAAAGAGTACAAATTATTCTTGAAACGAATCAAATTGATTCCATAAGAGATGATCTTGAAATTATTTATTCACTTATTCTTATTTTCCCTTTCTTTTCTTTTTTTCTCTCTCTCTATCGTTTACTAGCAATTCATTTACTGGGTGCCACATTGGTCATTGCCATTTGAAAATGCTGTATAGCATTTGTATATATTGCAATATTGAAATGTTTAGTGAAATAGGATATTTTAAATCCATCTACACAATAATTGTTCATCATACAGTTAGGTATAATTCATTAAGACTTTATATATATATATATATATATATATATATATATATATTAATTTAGTTTTTCAAGTCTTCTAAGAATATCTTTTCAATCATTATTCATTATTCAATGTTGAAAATGAAAGTGGTTAATTTTTGTTTTTGCAGTTTTATCCATCAACACTGGTATCAATGGGTCCAGCTGATATGTGTACCATTGAATATGATGAATATGGAAATAGAAGCAGTGTGCCTGTTGGAGTACTTCTTCCATTTCAGACATTCTGAATTTTTATTAATGAATAATTGATCATCTGAAATTTTGCCTTATAGGGTGTGCAATTCTTATGTTTTATCTCAAAGAACTATGGGTATGTTATAAGTCATGTATTTCGTGTTAAAAAAAAATTGTATTATTAAGTAATTATATACTATTAAAGTAATTATTTAACTTTGAATGTTTTGGAATTTTAGTGCGGAGAATCAAAATTGAAAGTTTTGTTAACATTTTCATTAGTAGAAGAGATATTTCCTCCACTAACTATTCAGTGATGAAGTGAATAAATTATTTCCTGTCTGTGTATTCGATTATAATGTATTATAGAAAATGTTATGTCAATAAATGATTTTTTTTTTCATTACTATTTAATGTAAGATGAAGATTTTCTTTCTTCTTTCTATAGCATATCTGTTTATTCATTTTTTTTGTAAAATTAAAAATAGTTGCAAATTACGGAATGTCAATTTGCCAATATTATTCTTTAAGAGATTTTTTTTTATTCTTCTTTGAAGTCTTTCTACTATGACTAAGTTTGTTTTAATCTTTTTCATATGTGTATACGTATAATTTGAGAAAAGTAATACTTGAACTCTTGAGAACACTTTATCTTTTTGCCTGATTTATCAGGGAGGCATTTCTTTTTTCAGGTACTTTGTTATTAACATTAATATTTGAGAGACCGGTGTGGATCTATATGAAGCTTATGATTTCACGGCATGCTAGTACGGCAGCTCGGGTCATCAAAGGCGCAATCCGTCGTGATATGCCATCGAAGATTGCATTATGGTTGACACCTGAAGCTGTAAAACGTGTGAAATATTTGCTTAGCAAACAACCGGAAACGACAGCACTAAAAGTATGTTTTTTCGTTTGTTTCACAATTGAATATTCTTTGAAGGGTAGTAAAAGCTAAATAGTAATAGAAGTTCAACTAAATCGAAGGTATATTTTGAAGATAGAGTTGGACAAAGATGAATCACTTGATTTAATCATTTACATGTCCGGTCATTTTGTTGTTGGGAATTCGAATTCTAAAAAATCTGGCAACAGATATAAATTCTCACTTTTTTTTTTCTTTAAATGAAATACAAAGGCAAGTAGCAAGTTACTTTGCTTCACCACTGAAGTAAGCATGTATACGAAAGAAAAAATTTTTGTCCTATAAAGTAAAAACTTGTAAAAAATGATGAATATTTAAAAAAAAAAAAAAAAAAAAAAAATTGTGGTTCAGCAATTTGAGGATGCCAGGATTGTTTCAGTAATACAGTTATTCTTATTAGTTTATCTAGTATAAAGTTTCAAATATGTGTATACGGGGAAAATATGCGAGAAGTATTGGTTTCAGATTAGCGTAAGGCAACGTGGTTGTAATGGACTGACATATACACTTGATTATGCCCAACAGAAAGCAAAATTTGATGAAGAAGTTGTACAGGTGATCATTATTGATTTTCGTTGTAATTTTTACTTAAAATGATGTCAATTTTAACAAATAGCTGTATAGTGTCATTAGGTGATACTGTTTTTATTGATGCTTATCCGTTCGTTGATCGGACTAATTTAATTTTCCTGATTTATATTCTTTGGCTGTAAAATCTTTTATCTCTTAAATAATGATTCCTGTAAAGCTTTGATGTAATTTGATGTCAAGTTCATTTTGAGGATGGTGTACGTTTGTGGATTGATCCGAAAGCGCAGCTGTCGTTATTAGGTAGTGAAATGGATTATGTGGAAGATCGTCTGTCTTCTGAATTCGTATTTCGCAATCCGAATATTAAAGGCACATGTGGTTGTGGTGAAAGTTTTAGTATATGATAATAATTTGTATTTATTTTGGAATTCTTATTATTAGTTTAATATATGTAATGAAGATAGATGTAGTTTTCGATTCTGTTTATAGAATATATTAGGCAGATTAAATTAATGCAGTATTTTGTATTTAAGAATTACAAATAACAAATATATAAATAACAAATTTTTCTAGTATTGCCTGCGTTACACAAAGGAATTTTTTGACAAATTAGCAACTACATAATTACTTAAGTTGAAAGTCTAATGCTCAATTTTTGGATGTTACCTGTAATTTTCGTATTATGAATGGATAGCCCTATTTTTTCTTCTATCATTCTTTCATTTGATTATCATTTTTATTTCTAGAAGTCATTGTTTCACTGTTTAATACGGTCATAATCTAGTGATATAGAAAGTTGATAACGCCAGGAGTGCTGTAAGTGTAATCTGAAGTTACATAGTAATTCCTGTTGTGGAAATTTTTTTTTCATAAAAATTTTATGCAAAAAACTAATTTGATTTTTTTTTTCAGAAATATTTGCTAATCTTGAAGTTACTATAACATACATTTAATGATCAGTTTTGTATATATTATAAAGTGATGTCAATATTATTACTTATGTTATATATAACTGTGATTGTAATTAGTATTAAGTGTAAACTAACGTAAATCAGGTTCGATCACATTGTTATCTTTGATTGCATCCTTCATTGATTAATAACATTTGTTAGATCACATCTTAAATACATGAAAAATTCATGATGAACATCTCATGTAAACTGCTGATGTTTCATCTGAGCTTATATTATCAGTATGTGATATTCATGATAACGAAGTGATAGATAATTTGACCATCAAATTTTAAATTATTATTTCAAGTGCATAACAGTGTTCCATTTAATAGTATAAAGTTATGCGGAAACAATTTTTCCATTTATTGATCACCGGAAGAATTAATTCCTGCACATTGGGTGGACAGTATTGCGGTGGTTGAGTTCTTCGTGATAAATTCCGCATAGGTACGTCGAGTTGTGTTGTGACCCAACGCAGCGGTCTCAAAAATATGTCGTCGTAACAGAAAGTGATCTTGACTGAAGGTTTGGAATTTATTTCCTAATTGTCGGTTGTAGCGGAATCTGTTATTAGGATAGTTTGAAGGGATTCAGGTACTTTTACGTGATTATTATTTTTAACCTACGTTTTATACCATTTCATTGATTTTATTATATGTAATACTAGGTGACATTTCCGAAAAGTTCTTTGGAGTGGTATATGGTTAAAGATTAATTCCGGAATTATAATAGTTATTGGTACATCTCAAGTAGTGAAAATAATTACTGGCACATCTCAAATAGCTTCAAAAAATTTGTGGTTATAAGACTAGCATGTTTGTAAGATTGATGCAATCTTGAATAAGGTTGTCTCAAAAATTCTGAAATTGGCGGTATACTTTAAAGCAGGTTCATCGATTACCTTGAAGTCTTCTTAAAATTTTATATCTTTTCGATACAAAACTGTATCATGTTGCAATAAAAAATTGTTAACCAGTATTTCACTTATCACTGATGTTTGATAAAGATGATATATCATTTAGGAATGTTTATATTTCTGGTTACAACCCATCTCTATGTTTTCAAGTTTTGGTAAGGAACCAGTGCAGTAAAGTTTATTTGTCTTTTTTGCAGGTTTACTTAGCTACCAAGATCGCTTAGAAGGTAACGTAGAAAATAATGCAGATTTTTGTAAGAGGCATCGATGACGGAGTCAGAACGATATGTATTTCGGAAACGAGTACAGTGGCCGAGCTCAAGGTTCATTTTGTTATTCTGATGATAGGTATTTGTGTATATTAAGATTGGTCCAGTATTTTCACTGTTCCCATTGCTGAGCATTATGATTAAGATGAAAAGAAAAAAATATGACTCTGTCCTAAAACTTGAAGAGATTATAATCATCTTAAATTTGGACTGATGCCTCTATTTTAATAGACTTGGAAACTTGTAGTAATTGTAGAATAGGTTAGAAAGTTCTGAGAAGTTGTTGGTAAAAGACTTTGCTTTTCATGTGTAAAATAGCAGCTGAGACAAAAATTACGAAAATGAAAATTTTTTCATTAGCATTCGTTGCATTAATAGGACTTATTGTTCTGTTCGATCTGTCTTTTGGAGTTCAACAGATTAATATAATTAGTGAAAGGAAATATTACACTACCTTATATTCCATGATGCTTTTTTATTTTTTAGGCATTATTATGCGCAGATGGTGCACTTTTGACGTGTGGCGCAGAAATTTTGGATGATGATAAAGCACCACTTATGAATTTCGGAATCTGCGATAAAGCAAACATTGATGTCTCATTTCGACTTCTTGGAGGTAAGTTTGTTCTGTGACTAACGTCAACACCATTCGTAATAATGCTTTTCATCTGTTCGCTCTCCCTTATTTTCGAAAATGAGCTGGTATTCCATTCTATAGTTTGTTTTCATCTATCAAAATTGCTGGAATCTCCTATTCTGCTTAAGGCAAAGTGCACGGTTCGTTGGCTCGAGCAGGAAAAGTGCGAGCTCAAACTCCGAAGGTTGAAAAACAAGAAAAGAAAAAGAAGAAGACTGGTAAGGTTTCCTTTTTGGTTTTTAGACTTGAATCGTAAGGTTCCTGTTTTATTGATAACTAGTGTACTAGAAGTATTTTCGGCTGATTTTATTTCTAGTATTTCTTCCATCCTGTGCTTGCAATTTATTTGTTTCAATATGCCCAATTTATTGCTTTCAGGCCGAGCAGCTCGTCGTATCCAGTATAACAGGCGGTTTGTTAATATAGCGGTTAGTGGAATAGGAAGAAAACGTGGACCAAATTCAAATGCTGCATAAAAATGAGATTTTATGGGATGATATTCACTGATATTTGAATAATTTAACGAACTAATTCATTTGAAAAGTTTATGTAATGTTCTTATGCGAAATAAATTTGTTGATTTGATTTTTGTTCTTATGCAAGTTAATTTTTTACAAATAGAACATATCCCTATTTATCGTTTACAAAACTTACGCCATTAATGTTTGGGTAATACTGTCATACGTAAGAGTCGAACATTAGTGGTGAGAGTGTGAATGGATGTAATCCGGTTCGGAATATATGACTTTTTGAGATTTTCATGAATGATGTATATGAATGGTGTGCTGCATTTGAGTTTAGGTTTTGAACGTTTGGAATTTTCATTGTATCAAGAGCGGAATCAGAAATCTATTGTTCATGTTTCCAATATTACATGTCTTTTTTTATGAATCTTAGAATGATTTGAAATTTAATAGATATTATTAGATATAGTTGGAGTGTAATGAAATGTCGATGAAACTGTTGCAGGAAGCTATCAAGCTTGTGGATGCAGGTTTGTTTAATTCAAATTTTTATTTCAGGAAGGTAATAAACGAGTCAGATGAATTGGATTGAAGTATAGTATTGGTCCAATAGTTTCAGATAGAAATAATGATAAGTTGAGACACGAAGCTCTGTTTTCGCTGATGTATCAAGAAAAAATTGTGAATATCTATCTAGAACATATATCAGGATTTTTTTTTTTTCTGGAAGGGAGAGGGTTATTCGGATTTTGTAGGTTGTATGTTTCGGTTAGCAAAGATGAAACTTTTAGCCTTTTCTTCGCAATCATAATGCTCTTAATTGCTTTATTTATTTATTTGTTCACTCATATTCTTATTTTTAAAACATTTGTAGGTGATAAATATTTAAAAACTTTTTAGATGACAGAGTAAAAAATACGGAAACCGTACGAAAACCAGTAAGAGTTTCAAAGGCAGAAAGAGATCATCAGAAGCTTGCCGCTGTACTCACCACTTCAGAATACGATCCAGAATTAGATGATTTCATCGTAAATTCGAGTGTGCAGAAGCAAAATTTAATAAACCCTAAAAGGAAGAAAATTACTAAGGTAATGCAACAAATAATTGAGCAGTAAGAAATTGCACAGATTTTGATGATTTTGCTACTCATCTCTCTTAAAATCAGTATTGTTAGATGTAACTTTAAATCTTAACTGTAAGCTCGTTGAAAGCTCGTTGAGTTTCTGGAATTTGATGTTCTGTCCTGAACTTTTAGTAATGAATTTTTTTTTCTTAACAATGGGTACAGTAGTATCTTAATGAGTATTTTCCATTGTGAAAGCTGTATAGTTAAACTATGTTAAACCATGTTACAGTTTGAGCGCTTCTTTGTCTTAATTCAAATAATCATTCAATGTAAAGGGAAAATTTAAAATTGATGAATGATGATGTTTATTTTATGAACTGTTTTCCTTTTTCTTTTTTATACTTATCCTTATTTTTCACTTTTTTTTTCTCCCAATTCATTTTACCTTATTTTTTTAATGTTTATTTGTTCACATTAAATGCTAAAATTTGCTATTTTTCAGAACATTTCATTATTAGAAGAAAGTCGCTTAATAAACAAGACAGACCTGTTGAAACGTAACATTAAATATATGGTTTACGAAACGAATTGTAAGTTGGATCCTGATAAAACCAAGCAATTGATAGGTTTTATGGATGAACATAATCGTCGTCGAAAAAAGATCCTTCATGCGTTGCGTAAACGAAATAGTTTGTTTTTCTTTTGCTAATTTTTTCATTTTTATCTCAAATTTTTAGAAATCTGAATTCATCAATTTTTCTTAACGCGCCAGCTATTGTTTGATGGAAATTGATGTAATCTGTGATATTAGGTTATGTATAGCATCTTTTTTAACTTTGAATAATGGGTAAAATTCTCAAAATGGTTTTATTCTTACAAGCCACTTCCTCTGTATATTTAATATATAGATGGAGTACGAGATTATCGGTGGAACTTCAAGAAATCCAACAATAAATCGATATTTACGGATGAAGATTTCATGAAAGTCGGACCTGACAGGATAAAAGTAAACATTTTTTTCTTTTTATGCTAAAATTTTTATTGCATATGTTCATTAAACTCAAAAAATTAATTTAAAAGAAAATCAAACACTTAAAAAATTAATGAAAATTTGATTATTGCTGTTTAATAGGGATTTACTAATTTGCTACTTAAAAGTATAAATAAAATGTTGCAGTTACTACGAAAAAAAAATACGGGAAAACGAGAAAAAAACATCAAAAAATCCAATCGCTCGGGCAATTAAAAGAATTATTGTTTGGTGATGATCCGACGTTTGTGTGTTCCGTCAATTTTTTAATTCCTACTACTATAGAAGTTTCTTTTTTTGGTGCTTGTCATGGACCAATATTTGTGATAAATCTTTTGCTGTATTGATCTATGAAGCAACTGTCAGAGAATATAACGAGTAGAGTTGATTGCTTGATTGTTCTTCATTATCCCAAAAGGAAAAATTTGACAAGAATTTGGCTGTTGTTTTTTAGTGTAGATTTAATGGATTGTAAAATTGTAGCACTGAGTTGAATCTAAAAGCATATTGTTTTCTGTTTGATCACTATTGATGAATTTTTTCTTTGAATTTCTAATCAATTTAGGATCACTTATTTTAAATTCATTGATTGCAGTAGGCAAAAACTTCTCCATTAGTGTTATGTGAAGTTTGGTTTGATGGAAGTGTCGTGGAAGCAAAATTTTGTCATTGATGATTTGATAGTTTAATTATTAATTTTGGGAGAGGTTTTTGGTTGCAGGGAGATTCGTTGGATGTAGATATAAATATGTGGGGTAACAGAGAAATACAACAATTCTTTTATTAGAAGAAGCAATAGTACAATACGTTGATAGAGAACAATTGAAATTGAACTAAGCTGGTTCTTGGTAAAAAATACACTAAAATCTTTAACAAACAAACAAGATAGCAATTATATTTTATATTATATGTGTTAAGATGTGGAAGTGGTTTATAATCAGACATTTTTGTACAAAGAATTAATTGTCTAGACATGAGTGATGAGTTACTTTAACAATAAGTTGCAATGGATATCACAAAGGGAAGTACAATGGTTTGTCTAGACGTTATGATAAGTGGCTACTATGAGTTGCAATAGACATTACATGATAGATGCTCATAGTATGTGAATTGATATAAGATCAAAGGTCAGTTAAGTGGTTACGATGAATTGTAAAAGATATCAATGGATTGTTATATTAAGCATTGTTAACATTTATTTAGTACTTCGCGATATTAAAATTCGCGACAGGAAGATTTAACTTAAACTTTACTAATGCTAAAATTTTTTAACTTCTGGCTGCTTCGTTTCTTATAACTATTTTTCTAGAAACTGTTCGTACTTAATGACGAATCATAGTTTTTGTTCTTCTATTTTGTTAATATGATTATCTAATATTCAAATCGGCATTTTATTTTACTTTTTTATTTTATTTATTTTTTTGTAATATTTTCGATGCTAGACTATTCTGATTCTCAATTGCCTCTAGTTGTGGAAGTGTTCTTTTATTTCTTGATCATTTCTGTTGATATTTAACTTAAGCCAAACTTAATGTAATAAAATTTGTATAATTTATATATACAAAGAGAACATTGCAATTAGTATAATTTAAGTTAATGATATAGACATGAATGAGTGGCATCAAGATTTTGTTTAGTTAATAATGAAATCCTTGTAATTGATTGGATAACGCAAATAAACAGTCGAATAAAAACTTTATTGTTTGATGTTATGAATGTTATTGAATGTCAAATTACATCACAGATAATTTATGATTAAAAAATTTAATTGAAGTTAGCCATAGACGGAGGATTATTTCCGGTAAAACAGGAATAGTGAAGCTAGTCGAATCAATGATTGCTATCATTAAAGACTAACCCCAAGCAGTAAGTTATCAATGAAGGTTGACCCCAGGTACAATAGGTGACCTTTAGATGAGTGAATAGATTGTCGGACATAATAATATTTTGTCAAATTTTATCTAACTGTAGTATTGAAGATAAATATTTGATGATAACAGAAATTTGAATGAAACAATCACTGATCTTATAAACATTAAAATCATTGATTTTAGGATCATCAATCTTTAACCTATAAATTTCTATTAAGTTTAAACAAATTGTTTAAACATGTTATGAAATTACTTCGGTTTCTGCAAATAAAAGATTATCAATAAGAAAAAAAAAAAATGAAAGATTTATGAAAAGGTAAACTAATCATTGATTTTACTCATAGATTGTTTATAATTAAATTTCTAAAATAAAAGTTTGCATTAAAGTTTATATTTCAGTTATACCTTAATTAAATGAAAAAAATGAATGTAAAATATACGTTACTGTAATAGATAGATCATTTATTTTTGGTCATTTGTCTTTGTCTCTGATAAGTGTGATAAGCAAATTTCAAACTTATCTTTAAGTTTGTTAAAATGCCATAAATTATTTTATTTGCAAAATGCTTGGAAATGCAATAGACTTTATGCAATAAACTTTTTATTTTATAAATTTACTTAATTATTGTAAAATATTCATTCCTACAGTGCAGCATAGAAATTATAAAACTATTTCTGTCAACAAATGATTTTATGTTTAATCTTTTCTAATCATTAAATATGCATTTGCATTTATGCAGCTGCAAGAATCCTTAAAAATTAAACTAAATTCAACAATTTTTCTCTGCTTTGTTGCAAATTTTGAAATTAAAAATATTTTAAAATATCGATCTATTATAAAATTTAATTTTATTACCGAGATTATTGCTTTCAATATATTTTAAAATTTATAGAAATCAAAAATTTGAAAAAATCGAAAGTAAAACAAATGCACTTTTTTGTCTAATCGAACTTTTAAAAAAAATTTCAAAAAAAAAAAAATTGAAAACTGTACTATTTGATTTGTTAGTGAGTAAATAAATAAATATTTTATGCTTAATAATAAATATTACATTTTCTTTAAGGTTTATTCTTCAACAGTTTGTAAGCAGAAATAAGCTTTAGCAATAATCGCATATAATAAAATGAAAAAAAAAAAAAAGGGAAATGAATGATATTTAAACTTAACAATCAGTTGTTTTAAAAAATCAAAAAAAAACAAATTCATTTTTTTCTTTTTTTGATTAATCAAAATTTTAACTTTTAAATTAAAATTAAAACATATTGCTAATAATATCTATTACAAATTTATTTATCACATAATTACATATCCTTTATTGATATTTCATATTATCATTTGTATGTTTTTCTGAACGGTCGGGTGGTTGCTTATTTCATTCAATAAGAAAGATCAAAAAACAGGAAAAAGAAGAAAAAGGAACGGAAAAACGGAAAAAAAAAACAACAATGGGAGAAGAATATGAAGCATTAGGTCCAGCTGGAGCCGGTTTGTCGATATTTGAAATTATACAGTTTCAATTTTTAATTATTACTATAATATTTCAATTTGCATTATTAATTAAAACTTTTTATAAAGAAGCAAAAAATTTTTTTAAAAGTTATTTTCACTTTTTTTTTTTTTTTTTTTAATAAACATATCAAATATTCGCTTTTATTCACCTTCTTAGCATTCTTACGTTTTGAATAATCGTAAATTATTTTAAATCATATGAATTTATAATGACAATTGTAATGAATAGTGATAGCATAAAGTAAGTTAAACTCTTCTAAATAGTATCAAATTAAATTTTAATAATAGTCTTAATAGCACTCTAATTTAATTAGCTTATATCAATATAAAATATATTAGAGTTTACTAATTCATCCATTCAAATTTTTTTATTCTTTTCTGTTAAATTTTCACAATAAATTTTTTCGAGTTGCTTTCCTTTTTTTCTACTAAAATAGTGTAAAATAACAAACAATTTTTTTTTTTTAACAAAAAAGTAATTTTTATGAAAAAAAAGTAAAAAAAGTAAAACTTAATATTAATTGAAAATAATTTATTTTTCGTTTTTTCGTTCTTTCTAATAATAATAAAAAAAAAAAATTTGTCATCCTTAATGATTTAATAATTTTTAATTAAATTTATGCTAAAAATTTGTCATTAATAATTTAATTAAATTTATTTAATAAAAAAAGTATTGTTTATTTCAATTATTATTATCATTAATTTCCTTTGTTTTTTTTTGAAGTACCACCAGCACCACCAACAGTTCAATTTCCCGTACCTCAACCTCCTTCACCATTTCCACCTAGTCCTGGACAACCTGAAGTATTTCAATTTCCTTCTCAATCTTCACCATCAACATTAGCACCTGGTGAACAGAAAAAACAATTTAAAAAGGTAACAAAAAAAAAAAAAAAAATAATTTAAAAACAAAAAAGGAAAATTTTTGCTATTCTGTTTACTCAATCTTTCTAAATAGTAACTAAAATTTAATGAAAAAATAAATAAAGAAAAAAAGAAAAGTAAACACTGTTTAGTCTTTATAACTTATCCATTTTTAAATTTCACTTTCTTTTTCTTTTTAATTTAATTATTTTTTAATTCTAAAATGCTGCAAATAATTCATTTCACTATTTCTTTTGCAACTTTGCATGTGTATTATATATTAAATGGGTTTATAAAAATGTAATAAATTAATGAATTATTTGAAAGTATCCAATTTAGTCTAAAAATTATTAATTTAAAACTTTTAGGATGGCATTGGCGATAGTGCAAGAAAGGAAAAAAGTATTATATTTCATGAAATAGCCTTAATAAAATTTTGGCACTTTGTTAATTTCATATATTTTTTAAAAAATTATCAAAATGCTATAAGAATAAAAAGAATGAAAGAAAAAGTAAGCAATAAATTATAAAAATTGACAAAAATTTTTTTCAAAGAAAAAAAATTCTGGATTCAACTATAAAAGTTTTTATTTACTTATCTTTCTTATCTTATTTTATTTATTTATTTTAGTTTATTTTTATTTATGAATTTTTTTTTTTATTTCATTTTTTGTGAAAATATATAGCAGATGATAGTAATCATTTTTTATGTCACAAAGTTTGTCAAAATGAAAAAAAAAAAACATAAACAGTAATTGATAAATAAATGATAAGCAATATAAGGCTTTATATCTTTTCAAAGAAAATTTAAATTAATTCAAAACACATTTTTTTCTTTTTTTTTTTAAAAAAAAAAGATAAATTAAAACTTATACTTGGAAATTTTATACTTTAAATATGTACAATTTTTGTCAGTAAAAATAGAATAAACTTTCGATAATTATCTATTTAATTAATCTTAACATCATCACTATTGATATTATTACTGATAATCAACACTATTGATATTATTACTGATAATATTTAAGTATACAATAATATCAATAATAAAATTAATAATATATAATAATAGCAATAACAGTAATAATATTAGTAATAATAATAATAATAATAATAATAATAAATAATAATAATAATAATAATAATAATAATAATAATAATAATAATAATAATAATAATAATGGTAATAATAATAATAACATCAATTAATCTTATATTATTGTTATTTTTATCATTATTATTGCTCAATAAAACTTACCATCTAAAAATAATTAAAAATTTTAATCATATCCAATATCAGTAATGTTTCTGTAAATTTTACATTATATTTTCAAATATATACACCTAAAAATCCTTCCTTTCTAATATTTCTTTTTGTTATTTTAATATTCATAAAATTAAATTCATTTCGTTGATTAAATTACTACTCTTTAATGCAATTTAAACCTAATACATTCTTTTTTTTTAATTATTCTAATAATCACTAATCACTTTATTATACTCAATATTTACGGCACTATTTAAACTTGACATTATAATATTTATTAATTATCAAGAGTTTATTATTAGGTAGCAAGTCCTAAAAGAAAAATTCAAATAATTTCTAAGTTTCAAATTAATTAAAATTCAAAAAAAAAAAAAAAAACTTTTTTTTTTCATTTCAACAGAAGAAGATGAAGAAATAGAACAAAGTGCTACCATCAGTAATGTTCGTTGTTTGGTGGCAAGTCTTATCTTAATTATAATGGTATTTATTGGTATTACATTGGTTATTTTTTTAATTGTATTATTGTATACAAATTGTTTTGGTTCACCAACATGTTCCTGGCTTAAAGTTTTTAAATTTTTCTAGAAAAAAAAAGAAAATGAAAAAAAAAAATTTAAATTTGATTATTAATTATTTACAGATTTCTTTAATGTTAATATGTTTTAATATTGATATTTTTATATGCATAATATCAAAAACAAAAACCTATTAAATTAATGCTTTTCAAAATTTAAAAAAAAAAAAAAAAATAACTTTATTGTTCTTGATTTTTTTTTTTTTAAAAAAAAGGAAATATGGAAAAGAATAAATAAGTTCATAAATGATTTGGTCTTTTTTTTTCTTTGCACAGTTTCATTAAATTGAATGTTTATTTATTCAGAACTATGTTAATTTATTTGTTTCATTTAATAATTGAAATATAGATGATTTTTAATAAAAATAAATATTAAAAAGAATGATCTCTTCTTCCCACTCCAACTATTTTCCTGTTAATTGGAGCATAAAATTTTTATTATCATACTATTAAAATGATAACAGCAAAAAATTGCCACCTAAATTCTAAAACTTTTGATAATTATCTAAAGTGTGAAACAAATATAAGCTTACATTTTCATCATTTATGAACATGAATTTTCAAAATTCTCGATTTAAAAAAAAAAAAAATTACTATAAAATTTATTGATATGAATTAATTGTTTTTTTTTCGCTTTCAATAATTCTTTTTCTTTTTCTTTACCGGCAAATTTAATAAAGAAAATCGATTTTACTACAATAATCATACAATAGTATACTTTAGAGGATAGTAAATATTAAAATGAAAGGAGTAAAATATTTAAATGCTAACTGTTAAATAAAATATTAAATGTAAAATTTGAAAATCAAATAGCAATGAAAAGAGATGAGAGTAAATAGCTTTCTTTTTTCAATTTTAACAAAATGTTACAACAAATTTATCACAAAAAACAAGCAAATGAATAACATATTAAAATATACAATTTTTTCACTTCTTAATTGATAACAATAACTATCTAAAACATTATATAATACTTGGTATTTATTATTATTAATATTTATTTATTTTTTATTTTTTTTTGTGGACAGAATCACTGGGTATTGCGTTACTATTGTTGTGTAACAAAAGTAATAGCAATAATTCAAAATCGGATGGAATTATGATTTTTAATCAGATGAATGAATAATTCTATTTTTTAGTTTTCTTTTTACATAGCTTTTTTTTCTGCTACTTTATTTTATTTATGTCATTCAATCATTCTTTAAAAAAAAAAAAAAAAAAAAAAAAAAAGATGAATAATTGAATACTAATAAAAATCAATAAATTGGTAAATTTAAAATTAAAAAAAAAAACACAAATCAATAAACTAATAAAATTATTTAACAAGTAAATTAAAGTACTACACATAAGACAATATTATCATTTCTACCTGATTTCACTGACTGCATACAATGGATTAAATGTGATGTAGAAATGAGAAAAAATATATATGTAATTCTAAAGAATTTGAATACAAATTTAAAAGATAAACTAAAGTTTGGACTGTTCAATTAAAATCAAACAATTGCGCCACAGCATTTCCTATATACACTAAAATGAATACAATACTGTTTAAAAAAAAAATTATACAAAATGATAATTACAGAATTCAGTCGAAATCAGGCTTACTAATAATTTACATGCAAAATTTATAAATTTCACAAACTTACAAAATATTCCAATGATAAGAAGTGTTATAAAGTTAAAGTGACCTAATTTTCTCATAAGGTAAAAGTTGACAATAATAATCCTCTGGTTCGGCAATTTTTTGCAACAAACATGCTTGCTTTAATTTTGGATTTTGTACAACATTTTTAAAATAGGTACACGGTTTATCACCATAACCAGGCATTAGTAAATCAAAAAATGCTGCACCATCTTCAAGTGGTGTTAACGAATGAATATTACCAAATTTAGGACCCAAATAAACGCAATCATCGCTGTGCCAACGATTACTGATACCTTCGAATCTGTAAAATTTAAATTTACACATTTATTGAATGTTACTAAAAAAAAAAAAAAAAAAACACTAAACTATGAGTGATATTTGTGAAAGAGAGAGAGAGAGAAAAAAAAAAGAAATCATTTTATTTTTTTTCTTCTATTCAAATTAAAAAAAAAGGTCAAAAGAAAAAAGTTATATATACCTTCAAAAAAGTCAGTCAACAATAAATCAATGAAACAATTTGATCATAACCGTGCAAATCTTAATAGTTTATCTTATATTTTTCTTAAACGGTTTTTTTTTTTTTTAATTGTGAACAATGACTTTTTTCAAAAAAATGATTATGAAAATTTATACTATACTATACTAAATGCTTATACAGTTATGAAGTATTCACTAATAAGAAATAAAAAATAGAAGAAAAAGACTGAAAAACAGACGTAAAAATTTTTAAATTATAAAAAGGAAAAGAAGAAAGAAAATCATACCTAGCAATGACAACATTAGATGATAATGTGTTCCATTTTGTTCGTTTTAACACTTTTTGCTCATCATGCGAAAGTTCAGTATATGAATTAATTGCTAATGCACCACGAAGAACTTTCACAAATCCGTACATATCCGGATGATCATGTAATGGAAACATAAAATTACAACTTTTGAAGCCAAATAAGCATGCATGAATATGCTCCGATTCATAAATGTCAATATAATACATTGGAGCTGTCATTGATTCAAGACCTATAATATATTTTTTATAAATAATAAATATAACATATAAAATAATTGATTAAATTTTTATCAAAAAAAAAAAAAAAATTTTGATAGAAGAATAATTAGACATATGCAAATACAAATTTCTCAAGAATAATTAACGATATTATCGGAAAATTTTTAATCATTTATTTTTATATAAACAATCATCTATACATCATATTCAGTTACTTTTTATTTTCTTCTTTTTACCAATGCTTATGTGAATATACGTCAGACGTGTATGAATGTGATATATATATATATATGAATGTAAACGAAAGAAAAGTCCATAATATGATGTGCCAAAAATTCCATTTAAATTAATCACTGATTAAGCTATTTGTGTTAAGAAAGAAAAATCCATAAAATGATCTGCCAAATATTCCACTGTTTTTTTTTTTTTTTTCGCTTTTAAAATTGATTAAGCTATTAGTTCTTCAAACTATATATTCGTAACTGACTGTAGAATAGAGTAAAAATATTTTGTAAATTGTTCAAGTTCAAATTATCCACATAATTCTCTATTCCTAAATCAATTTTTGCATTAGGGAATTCATAGAAAGAACTAAACCAATAAATACACTGTTTGAAAAATAATTTTAATACTAAATCAACAATTAATTTATCAAAAATATACCAAAAAAAAAAAAACAAACAAACAAACCAAGACGATCCGGAAGAACAGCACCAATCATGTCAAGTGTAAGCGTTGATACAAGACGACGAGCACGTTCAGATAATATTTCTCTTTCTACAGCATAAGTATCATCACTATCTGTGATAGTGTTTGATAATTTCAACTGAGCTAATCTCTCGGATATTGCTGATACTTCACGTAGAAATGAACGTAATCCTTGCTGTGACATGACTTTTGAAATAATCATAAGATGTTGTTGTTGTTGTTGTTGTTGTTGCTATTATTATTATTATTATGCTTTTGAGCGTTCTTAAAAATAAAAAACAAAAAAAAAAAAAAGAAAGAAATGAATAGATTAATTAGCAACGAAAAATTAAATTCAAACTATATTAATTAATATTCAAACACATTTCCATTAAATTGCCGAATATGCTAGAAAATTTTCAATTCACTAAAATCATAGATGTTAAATTAAATTTAATGTATAAAGAATTAAGATTAAAAGCAAATAATACAAAAATAAATGATAAAATTAATTAGCAAAAATTTCACGATTGAATTTCGCATATAGCACATGACATAAGAAAATAAAAATTAAATCAAAATTAAAAATTTTTAAGAATTAAAAGCCAGTAATAATAATTGAAGCAGTAATTAATGCTTAGCAATAAATAGGAATAAGAAGTGATTAAAAACTAGTCGTATGGCATTAATTAAAATTCATTAATTAAAATTCATTTACAAATGCATTTTTTTCGATAAATTAAAATAAAAATTAGCACTGTGAAATGTTTGAAAACGCATCGCTCAATAAATAAATGAGAAAAAAGAATGAATGAAAAATTCATTTAAATTCCATTCTGATATATTAATAAGAAAGAGAAAAGTATTTCATTTCAAAAATATTTACAATAACAAAGTGGCATTAATCATCAATGAAAAACGAAATAGAAATTAGAAACGGAAGAATGTTATGTACAAAATATATGACTAATATACATTCGAACAAGAAATGTAACTATTAATTATCACTAAAATGTAAACAGAAAGAAATATGAATGTAGAAATTGTTAGCATTACTTTAAGTTTAGTAATAACTAAAAAAAAAAAAAAAAATAAGCCTACATATGTCATAATAGATATAATAATATAGAACTACAAAAAAAAAATATATATTTACAAATTAAAAAAGTAATAATCTAAAAAATAAAAACTCTAAAAGTAATGTGCTGAAGAAGTAAAACTGTAAAAATAATTACCTAAAAAAAAAAGAAAGTAAAATTGTACAAGTAATGATTTAAAAAATTTCGTTCCTTTAAACCACTAACTTTTCTCTTTTGGTAATAAATCATTTTGCTATTAGTGTAATAACAATTATTATGAAATATGATATAACTTTTTGATAGTTTATTATCGTTTTCATTCACATTAATCTTTATTTTCTTATTTTCAAGGCAAACATTCTAATGGATAATGAATATTAGTAAAATAAGTGCAAAGTTAAAGTAATAACATTAAAAAAAATTAGAGTAAAACAAATATATAAATAAGTAAATAAATAAACGAAAATAATAACAAAAATAGAAGAAAAAATGTGTGAAAAAAGAAAAAAAAAATATTTCTTACTACGTTACTAAATCGATCAATATTAGACATAGATAAGTGTGAAAATAAATAAAATTTTCATACAATTAATAAAATTAAATAATATTGTATTACTAAAAAATACAACAAAATGTTACAAATATTATAACAATAATTGCTAATTTCAAATAAACTGTAATTTTCAGTTAAATATTTAAAAAAAAAAAGAGTGAAATTATAACTTAATAATGATGAAAAAATTTCATATGAGACATTTGCATTAACATTTATCAGTAATTAGTATTTTAAGTAATTAAGTTCTGATGTTAAAGCTCGAAGCATACATTTGAGTGAGATATAAAGTGAAAAAAGAAAGAATGAGAAGATAAACAAATGAAATAATTGTTTATGACAATAAATTAGTAAAAATTAATTAAATAAATAAGTAAACAAATTACTAAAATTAAATTAGTAATTTATTAAAAAAATAAACAAATAAGCAACAAAATTTAATGCAACACAGCGTTTTGTCCTAATCAGAACAATGTGTAACATTAAAGGCTCGTAAAATAATAAATTTTACGCATTCCACATTCTTTGGCATTTTGACAATGAACCAACTGGTTCTAATTTAATTTTAATAATACGGCAAAATTATTAGTAATTAATTATTTCAAGTTTTATTTTTATGAAATATCTCCAGTTATTTTTCTTTTAGATTAATTACTTAAAAAAAATTATTTTAAGCTTTATTTTATGAAATTTTTCAAGCTGTTTTTTTTTAGTTGAAATGTTTTTATTAAATTATTTTGAGTTTTATTTTGTAAAATATTTCAAGCTGTTTTTCTTTTAATTTTTTAGAAATATTTTTAGTAAATTATTTTATGAAATATCTCGAACTGTTTTTCTTTTAGATTAATTATTTTTAGCAAATTATTTTAAGTTCTATTTTGTAAAATATTTTGAGCTGTTTTTTTTTTCTTTCTTCTTTTAATTGAAATATTTTTAGCAAATTACTTTAAGTTTTATTTTGATGAAATGATTCGAGCCGTTTTTCCTTTATAGATTAATTATTTTAATTTGTTTTATGGAATACTTCGAGTTGTCTTTTTTTTTTTTTGTCGTATGAATTTATCATTATATTATACTATTCAGTTTTATCAGAATGATATATCGTAACAAATTTATTTCATTGATATACTCTACATAAACTAGTGTGCAAAGTGTGATAAAGCTTACATATAGGAATAAAAAAGATAGTAAAAAAGGGAATGTCGAATTGATTTTCTCATAAATTGAAGCATTCTTTAGGTTATTTTTCAAAGTTTTTATTCATAAAATAAAACTTTTACTGTAGTAAAAGTTTTTTTTATAATATAACAAACAAAGATTAAAATGGAATTATTTTCAGATGCTGATGATGAATGGAACTGTAAATAACAAAAGATAAATTATCTATGGATGAAAGTAAATAGTGATGTATTGGATACGTTATGTTATAACATATCGTAAAATTATTGCTTATATAGTATTATTTCTCTTTTTTTGTAATCTCATTTTGATCACACGGTTTATTGATTGGCATTTACCTTTACGACTAGCTAATAATCTGCAGGTATATTTTTAAATTATCGCTTTTTTTTCATTAATGGAACATAATGATGTGATTGAAATTAGATTTAATTTTGCCAAGTTAAATTTCGAAATTATTCGGCTTTTCAAATTTTTATTCTGAAATTTTGCACTCAAATTTTGTAAATTTCATTTAAAATTATGTCTTTCTTCAAATCTCTGGAGACAAATTTTAATTCTTATTACATATTTTGTTACTGAAAATGAATCCATAAAGTTAATGCTGAATATGACTCTATAAATTTTGGTTTTGGAATTGAATTTTTAGCAAGATTTTTTAGTCCATTCACGAAATTAAAGTTTTTGAATTCACTAAATGAATTATTTATATAAATATCACTGCATCAATATGTTGTCCTATTTGTAGGTCATAAATATTTTGTAATTTAAGAAATAATCGATAAGCATAAGTCTTCATCTGTTCTTTGCAAATAAATTAAAACAAGTTTTCATTTAATAAATTAAATAATTGGTGTACGTAAGGTGCAGGTATTAATAAAACTGTCAGTTAATTTTGATTTGTTTATTAATTTTTATTTTTATAAAAATGATAAATTGTTTCAAATATAAAATGTTAACGAATCAGATTTGGCTTTTATTTGTTATGTTAATGATACTATAAATGTTATTAATATTACAGTGGTGTTAAATTAAGAATGAACTGAAAATTAATTTAATAGAAATTAAATAAGGTAAAAGAAATGGAACTAAAAGGAAAATTTATATTAAAATACATTGTGTTAAGAATCATAATTGATTTACAGAATTATTTTTATTTAAGAATACTGATTGGATTGATAATGAGGGAATAGATCAATCACAAATTATTGTGAACAAATTTTCATCATGTGAGCTTCTCTCTGAATCATTGACAATGAATGCTTTGTCGAGAATGAAAACGGAGGAATGTCGCACAAAAGCTCGTAATATTGTTTGTAATATTAATCAGCTTATACCTGATTCACTTCCAAATACCTGTCCGAAATATGGTTAGTTTGTAGTAAAATTAAAAGTATAACTTTTAAAAGTAATTAAAAGTATAATATAGTGTAATCATAATTAAAAGCGAAGCGAGAGAGGTTTCTAATGGTAGAACATATCTTGAATATTAATATGAGATAAATTTCTTACTTAATATTTATTTACAATTCTCTTAAGCTTAAAATAAACTTTTCGTATCCATGAAATGCAGAATGTTGTCTTGGTAGATGAGAATATGTGAACTTTTATTTTTCAAACAATTAGGCTATATTTTTTAAATTTATTAAAAATGTAATCTTGTTTTAATTCGAAATATTATTTGCTAAAAATTTGTCAAAATAAAAATGTTTTAGTGAATTTATTTTTTTTTATTTTTTCTAAAAACTATATTTTAGTTATTTTAGATGATAAATTACGTGGTTATTATATGGGTTGTTTTAAAGATTCACTAAATTCTCGCCTTCTTAATGGTCATTATTACATATTTAGAAATAATTCACCATTGTATTGTGTAAATATGTGCCTTCGAGCAGGTTATCATTTTGCAGGTTACTATTTTAATTATATTTTTCATTTTTTTAAAATATTTTTCACTTTTTTTTTTTTGAAAATAATTTTCTATCTGATACCATTCATCAATTTATAATACTTTTTCTAAATGGATTAGAATTTATCTGTGAAATTTGTAAATTTTGTGATTGTCTTGTTGTTTAGCTGTTGAATATCATGATGAATGTTTCTGTGGTGACACGTTGACAAATCCTGTTTCACTTCCAAATATATCATGTGAACAATATCACTGTAATGATAATGATAATAATTTGTTTTGTGGTGGTTATAATGCAGCTGCTATTTATCGTACCGGTGTAATTGGTAAGAATTAATAATTTTAATATTTTTCATAAATGATTAAAATTTCTATATACATATATATTATTGAGAAGCATTAATAATACTAAGAAAGATTATTCCTTTACATATATAACTTTCTTATTTTGCTATAAAAGATTATTTCTTTGTTAATTGAAAACA